TATATATATATATATATATATATATATATATATATATATATATATATATATATATATATATATATATATATATATATATATATATATATATATATATATATATATATATATATATATATATATATATATATATATATATATATATATATATATATATATATATATATATATATATATATATATATATATATATATATATATATATATATATATATATATATATATATATATATATATATATATATATATATATATATATATATATATATATATATATATATATATATATATATATATATATATATATATATATATATATATATATATATATATATATATATATATATATATATATATATATATATATATATATATATATATATATATATATATATATATATATATATATATATATATATATATATATATATATATATATATATATATATATATATATATATATATATATATATATATATATATATATATATATATATATATATATATATATATATATATATATATATATATATATATATATATATATATATATATATATATATATATATATATATATATATATATATATATATATATATATATATATATATATATATATATATATATATATATATATATATATATATATATATATATATATATATATATATATATATATATATATATATATATATATATATATATATATATATATATATATATATATATATATATATATATATATATATATATATATATATATATATATATATATATATATATATATATATATATATATATATATATATATATATATATATATATATATATATATATATATATATATATATATATATATATATATATATATATATATATATATATATATATATATATATATATATATATATATATATATATATATATATATATATATATATATATATATATATATATATATATATATATATATATATATATATATATATATATATATATATATATATATATATATATATATATATATATATATATATATATATATATATATATATATATATATATATATATATATATATATATATATATATATATATATATATATATATATATATATATATATATATATATATATATATATATATATATATATATATATATATATATATATATATATATATATATATATATATATATATATATATATATATATATATATATATATATATATATATATATATATATATATATATATATATATATATATATATATATATATATATATATATATATATATATATATATATATATATATATATATATATATATATATATATATATATATATATATATATATATATATATATATATATATATATATATATATATATATATATATATATATATATATATATATATATATATATATATATATATATATATATATATATATATATATATATATATATATATATATATATATATATATATATATATATATATATATATATATATATATATATATATATATATATATATATATATATATATATATATATATATATATATATATATATATATATATATATATATATATATATATATATATATATATATATATATATATATATATATATATATATATATATATATATATATATATATATATATATATATATATATATATATATATATATATATATATATATATATATATATATATATATATATATATATATATATATATATATATATATATATATATATATATATATATATATATATATATATATATATATATATATATATATATATATATATATATATATATATATATATATATATATATATATATATATATATATATATATATATATATATATATATATATATATATATATATATATATATATATATATATATATATATATATATATATATATATATATATATATATATATATATATATATATATATATATATATATATATATATATATATATATATATATATATATATATATATATATATATATATATATATATATATATATATATATATATATATATATATATATATATATATATATATATATATATATATATATATATATATATATATATATATATATATATATATATATATATATATATATATATATATATATATATATATATATATATATATATATATATATATATATATATATATATATATATATATATATATATATATATATATATATATATATATATATATATATATATATATATATATATATATATATATATATATATATATATATATATATATATATATATATATATATATATATATATATATATATATATATATATATATATATATATATATATATATATATATATATATATATATATATATATATATATATATATATATATATATATATATATATATATATATATATATATATATATATATATATATATATATATATATATATATATATATATATATATATATATATATATATATATATATATATATATATATATATATATATATATATATATATATATATATATATATATATATATATATATATATATATATATATATATATATATATATATATATATATATATATATATATATATATATATATATATATATATATATATATATATATATATATATATATATATATATATATATATATATATATATATATATATATATATATATATATATATATATATATATATATATATATATATATATATATATATATATATATATATATATATATATATATATATATATATATATATATATATATATATATATATATATATATATATATATATATATATATATATATATATATATATATATATATATATATATATATATATATATATATATATATATATATATATATATATATATATATATATATATATATATATATATATATATATATATATATATATATATATATATATATATATATATATATATATATATATATATATATATATATATATATATATATATATATATATATATATATATATATATATATATATATATATATATATATATATATATATATATATATATATATATATATATATATATATATATATATATACATATATATATATATATATATATATATATATGTCCGAATATGATGTTAAAAGGGTTAATTTAAATCTAAACATTTAAAAATGAATATGTTATACCTATTTCTCACGCTTCAGCACCATACGAGAATTATTTTCTCTTCCTATAACACCAATTTAGGCGTGCATTGAATAGCAAATATTTAAGAAACACCAACAAGAATATCGCCAGTAGTTTGTTTACAGTCTAGAATGAGCAACCGAGAGTTTCTACGCTGATATTCATCAACAAAAGCAAAGAATAATGGATAAAAAGAAGTGGAATTTTCCTGTTGTGTTAATATTGTGAGGATTATTAGATTTAAATATCTGAGAACTGTATTAAAAGATTTTTAAAGTGCATAATTTCTATTCGCATTCATTCTGTTAAGCTTAGTTTGAATTTGTTTTAATATTCTCTCTGTGCTACGTATAAGTTTTATTTACTGATTAATTTTATTTTAGAAATTAGTATATATTTTATCTATGCATTCTAAATTAATAGTTCTTATTTTATTTCGTAATGTTGAAATATATTTACTGACTTTTATGTGCATTTTATTTTATTGTATGTATAAGTTTTATCCATTTTGTTAAGTTTAGTTTGAATTTGTTTTAATATTCTCTTTGTGTTACGCATGTGTTTCATTTACTAATTAATTTTATTTTAAAATTTAGTATATATTTATTTATGTATTTTAAATTACTTCTTATTTTATTTCGTAATGTTAAAATATATTTACTGACTTTTATGTGCATTTTATCTTAAAATATGTGTAAGTTTTAGTGTTACTGAATAGCTAAAATGGTGTCGGCTTTTCTTTATTCCAAATAGTGTTAAAGAACTTTGGTGTAGTGATACACTAGATGCAAGAATACTGTATGGCGTTTCACTACACCACTTTGCTGTAAAGTAGTTGGTGCCATTTTTGGTGTGGAGATGCACTAAAAACTTTTTACAGTGTGCGAAAAATAGTTATTTTTGAAGAAATAAAAATTAACTAATTAAATAGACTTGATAAATACTATTTACTTTGATAAATAATATCAGATTTTGAAATTAACTTTGCAATTATTTAAAATTGTCAAATCATTAATTCTTCATTAAAGATAAAATAATATGCTGTCTAATGAGCCTGAATAAAAATATAACTTACTTTAATAAAAAAGTTAGTTAAAGTGTCACTTAGTCTTAAACAATTTTTAATTGCACTGTACCAACTGTGACGAGCATATTTGCGTTTGAAGTAAATCCAATAAAGTAACATCGACAAAACAATATAGTAATTAACACTCAAGTGCAATAAACAAAACAATTGGCGAATTGTAAGGGCCCTCAGCGGCCAAAATGCAGAATTATACCCTAATAGAGGAAAAACCAGACTAACACTCCAGCTCCTCTTCATCTACTCTTTTCATAATTCTTTAATTAGATCAGTGATTATCTCGCCCTCTAGCGGTGAGCCAATCATTACCTATCCTTATCATTTTAATTATGCACGCCTAAAATTGTTGAGTTATGCTACTGAATTAAGATTTCGTGATAGTGCAAAAGAAATTTTGTCATATTAATGATAATAATATATAATGATGATTATTAATGAAATAATAATAATATTTTGCATGTAAACTGTATGAAATTAACAAGACAATGTATAGCTTCTTTTTTCCGGGTATCTACAAGGTTTTGGAAGATCCTTACACTGTTTTTGTGTTACGTAAAATAATCTCAATACAATTTTGTATTGCGTTTAGAAATGTTCATTTAAAAAAATTATCGTTAAATTCAAAATACCAAAAAAGTGGCATTTTCCTATGCTTAAATGCTTAAAAATATTAACATGAAACCAATGAATAAAAATAAATATTTATTTACAAATCATGACAAATATGAGAGAGAAATTGCATTACAAGGTGGTCTCAATTTGGAAGTGAAATTAAACTGCCAATTGGTAAATGACATACGTTGATTGGACATAAATTTTTTTTTAGAGTTAAAGATAAAGAGGCAATCTATCAAAGAATTTTTTTTCCTTCCGTCACTTTCATGGTCACCTATTAAAATAAAAAATATTAAGATTTAGTACATGAATTATAAAGACTTTTCAAAACAAAATCTCTAGAAAACGGTATTTCTGTATTAATATCTAAATGCTTATTTAAGAGCTTTTTAATTTTAAAAGAATTATGCTTATTTAAGTTCAAAGGAACAGATATAATAAATTTCAAAAGAACTTTCATGAGGTAATTTAAGTTCAACAAAACATAAATACGAAACGTAAATACTTCTGCAAGAGCTAATAGCGTTAGAGTTAATCATAAATTTTAGAAAAAATTTATAATTTTGTGTTAGATCTAAGAAATTATGAAAAATTATATTTTCTTAAGAACTATTGTAAATATTTTAAAAAAGAATATCAAAACAGTAGTAATCAGAAATAAACGTAAGTAAACGTTTTCGAACGTAATTGTGAAGAAATTATAATTAAATTACATTGCGATTAAGTTCGTTTCCAGTTTTCTCCGTTCTATTATTTTCATTATTTCTATTCTACTGCATTATTTTCATGAAATTAATTCCAGCTTCTATACTTGAGTGTTTATTTTAAAAGTACAAAAAAATAACACTTGTTTTGGTATAAATTATTAAAAAAAAAATATTGGTAATACCGTCTATTTCAAAAATAATCAATATTCTATAAATCAGTATTCCATAATAATGTACATTCTACAAATACAAATTTTTTAAATTCACTTACACAACACCATTGCAAGGTGTTAAGAATTGTTAATTCAGTAAAAATCAGAGTATAAATGGCAGTTTGAAAGCATCTACCATGTAACGTATAGTTTTCATAAAAATAGTTACGTTATTATGTGCTATTGAAATGACGCGTTAACACTTGAAGTATTTTTGCATCATCAAATACATATTTAAGTATTTTAATATTTTAGTACATAATTTTGAATCAAATATTTACATTTTGAATTACACTGAAGTAAGTTTAGTTTTATGAGATTAAAAATATCTTACCTAAATGATATATATAAATGTATTTAGTAATGCCCTCCAAAGGCATAGCCATGTCCAAGACCAATTCCATAACCAAGACCTGCGCCATGACCAATAGCGGCTCCATAACCGAGTCCAAGTCCATATCCAAGACCAGCATGACCATAAGCTACTGGAGCGGCTGCAACTAAAGGAGCTGCAATACCATGTCCAATAACGGGTGCAACGTGAGCGATGGGTGCAGCGTGGGCGATATCAGCTGGAGCAGCGTATGGACTAGCGATGACAGCAGCAGCTGGAGCACTGTGAGCGGTACCAGGTTCGTTGGTCTTGACAACAGCTCTGAATCCATGTCCATCAGCAACGTATTCAACTTTTCTTGCTCGTCCATCGATGTCAGCGAGAGTGTATGATCCCTTCTTGTTTCCATGAGCATCTCCTACTTCTGATCTGGAGTTGGTGGCGCCTTTTCCATCCTTGATGTCATAAGCAAAAGCGTAATTTCCATGTCCCTAAGAACAATTACATAACTATTTTATATTCGAATAAACCTATTAGCAACAATTAGTTTTAAATCAGAAAAATTCTTACATCTTGAGCTTGTTGTCGTGCGCTAACACCGGTATTGACGAGGTGTCCATGTCCAGCTAGGAGGAGACTAGCATTGGCTGCGGCCAAGACAGCAAAGAGAAAGGATACCTAAAACATTTATCTGTTTTTAAATAAGTATCTAGGGACCCTTGTCGAGAATGGTCTCGCATTTATTAGAAGATAACTCTTTATGTTTTTTACTTCTTTGATGTTAAGAGAGACTATATTTGCGGTATTGAATTTAAAATATATTGTGAAAGAAAATTAAATAATTGAAAAATTAAGGTTTTCCCCCACTATTTTAATATAATCATCAAATAAATATGAAGCTAATCCCAAAAATTGCAAGTTGGTAAGTTTCATTATTTGTTCTGAACTCGGTGACATAACACAAGTGATCTAACAAAACAGTATGTTTACTAATATTTCAGGGAAAATATTTGCAAAATTTTTAAGTTTTAAGTTTACATGCAAAAGAAACGCATGTTGGTTATTAAAGATCAATACAAAATCAGCTATTGCACACAAATCTCGGAATATAAGAATATTGGTAATTTATTAATAATTTTCTGAAATACTACTTAAATAATTAAAAATAAAAGCGTAAGGTTGTTTTGCGAAAAGAAGAAATTATATAGAAGAAGTTTTATCACGAAGTTTACAGCAAGAAGTTTTACAAAACTTTTTTTTAATTTTATACAGCTAGGCTTGGATAGTCTCGAAAGATCTAAGAATATTCTTAAATAAACTGTTTCGAGATGTTTTGATTATGCAACCATAACTAATAGATTTTATAGCAATATCATGATTCGAAACAACAACAACATTCCTTAACTTATAATACTAAGTTTTTATTATCAAAATAATGAATAAGAAAAATTATTTCTTTTAATTTTAATTTTGTAGAAATACTACGTTTATAATTTAATTAAAAAATAGATTTTTCATAAGAAAACAACTGATTTAACTTACCTTAGAGATCATGTTGTAAGTTTGTAAGAGAGATTTTCTACTATAATCTCTGCTCATACCTCTCTGTATTTATACAAATAGCACAAGGTCGCTTTCTTTAAAGTTAGTGAATTACTCGTATTAAAACAACGCCGATTTGGTTAAAAGCTGAAGCCCCACCCTTAAGGACAAGGTTTTATTCATAAAATCTGGAAGAGTAGCCGAAACTGATAAAAATTTAAAACAATACCGGCCGGTTTTAAGCTCCAATTAAAATGACAGGCGTAATTAAACGCGTGATTAAGGAAATAAGAGTAATGAGTGTTGAACATGGGCGAAATCTGGTTTTTATTGAAAGTATTGGAATTTTATTGAAGTAACCTTAAGATAAACAAGAATTTGACGTAACTGCACTCAATTAAGTCATAAAAAGTAACAGTCACTATCTCCTTATCATTTAATTAGTTTTCGATGATTTGCTACGCTGATAATCTGCAAAAATTATAATTATTTGTAGCAATTAATTACAAATTTTAATATTAGATTTATATTAACAAAAGATGTAAGCATTAAACTTTATTTTTTTGTCAGATTTTACACTTTTTATTAAAATTCATCATTTTGATAGGAAAATGTTGAATTTTTTAAGCAGGACATTTCGCTATAGATAAATTTAATCCATAAAAAAATTTATAAGAAAATGAATGCGTAAAATGAGTTTCTGTAGATTCGGAAATATATTACATAAAAAAAAACATACTTTTGCTCATCAGAAATAGGCATGTTTCAGTATCGCAAAAAAATGCTAAATGCGGAAAGATATAGGGCAGAGATGAAAAAACTGTTTTAAGTGATAGATCTCCAATACGAAAGTCGGAAATTAGCCTCCTCCAAAAACGTAAACTTTCCACCATTAGAATTTTCATTCTAAAATTACGGTAAAATAAGCGGAGGCAGTCTGTCCAACCGATTAATCGTAAAGTTTATCTTAAAGAACATTTTTTTTACACTTATGGGTCTGAAACCAGTAGTACGGCAAAAAAAAAAAACATGAATACAAAACGATACAGCTTTGACCATTTACAACTAGCTTGGCTTCAAACCATAAAAAAAGTAATTTAACTGGGCATGGGAGCTAGGTTTTTCGTTAAGTTATAGACATTGGAGTTGAATTGTGGTTGAGTTTTGTTTTATCAAATGAACCATGGAATGTGGTTTTAGGTTGTTTATCATGTTGTTTCACTTATTGTAAGAGGTTGGAAATACTAGACTTTTTTACTGGCAATACTAGACTTATGGTCCTGCTATCTATACGTAAATGGTAGTATCGTATTCTAATAGTCCAAAGTTAAAAATTGGAGAGTGCAGGACACAAGAAATTGTTCAGGTGTGGAAGAGAATGGATGAAATATTGCGGTGTCAACGCTGGGACTATTTTGTCGATAACACCTCTGGGCCATAACATGTATTCTGCAAGAAACTAAGTGGTTTCCTTGGTGGGTCTAGTTGTTACGATATGAATCTGGTTGTTTAACCGTAATGGGAGAAACTTGTTAATAAACGGTTTTTCTCACAGTTAACAGATTGAATACCATCTTATTTAAGGTTATTTGACTGTTTTACCTGAATATGGTAAAATAAAAATTAAATAAATTGTTATTTAACCATTTCTTCCGAGAAAAGAGCCACCATATAGAATTTACAGAGGGAGAAAAAGAGAGCCTGAAATGGATCAATTTTACAAGTGTAGCAATGTTTTAATATGAATGTTTTTTTTACGCTGAATCTAATGGCACTAAAAAGAAATTGATGATTCTAATATTTTAAAGATTCTAAGGATTTTTGTAAACATAAAATTAAAAAAAAAATTTCTTTGGTTATGCCTATTTACACGCCTGAAATATCTATCGTAACATAGTGGGGTGTAATTTCCTATATGTACTTTGTTAGGCTAAATCTAATGAGATCAAAGCGAGGTCGATGGAATTAATTCAAAAGTTCATAAGTTGCTAAAATTCTTATTTTTAAAAAGTAAAGTATTATACTTACCTATAAAACTAATACTGTTATATACATAAACACAAAAGGTGCATTGAATCTAATGAATCGTTTCATGCTGAATTTAATTTTTATTGAAATTACATTTTGACATTGCTACAGTAAATTGTGTTTCTATGGCAAAATCTTTATAATTGAATACTTTTAGTTAATGTTTTGAAATCCATTGTTTGTTATTATTAAAATCACTGTGTTTTCTTTTTAATTTCCTTTGCGAATTTCGGGTACATTCATTTTAAAAACATATACCAGAAAGAAAATGGTTTCAAGTTTACTTGCATGTAATTTTTATACACAGATACTATTGAATATTTAAATCTATACACTTAAAAAAGTTTAATTATCAGTACGTGTTTACAAAAGAACTTTAGCCTTAAGCTTAAGAGTGAAAATTTGTACACTGAGATGAAAAAAAGTATGATCAAAACTACCAGAATATGGTAAAATTTACCGGGTCTCTGGCTTTATGGGAACACCAAAAAGCTCGACAGTTTTTTCTGCAGAGCTTTGGTAATGATTTTGGTAAAATTAACAATAATGGTGTTTTGTGACAAAATTTGGCGAATGTGGTAAAATTCGGTAATTTTATAATTATATCTTGGAGCATGGCATAAAAACTATTTATTCGGTTAAATTTACTTTTCACTTTTGTATTTTTTACTAAATGCGTGGTAATAAGAACTATAATTTCGAAAATCAGAATTTCTGGTAAACCGTTACTATATGAACAGAAACTATACTTTTTACTATATTTTTTAAAATAGTCACTTCATTATAAGTTGTTAGTAGAACGGCAGTCTATCAAGGCGTGTTCCTTGTCTCCACCATTATGGTGACATAAAAAGCTAAAATATATATATNAATTATTAGGGACACTTAAAATTTCTAAAAAATTGTCATTTCTCAAAGTGTCATAACTTTTCAAAAATGAATCAATTTTCATAAAAATTTCAGGATATCATGTTCAGGTCTTCTACTTTCACCTAAAAATTACTAATTTAATTTATCCCAATTTTTTGCAAAAATTTGCACATTTGAACAAAGTAATTTTTTTAAAAAAGAAAATGTCAAGACTGACAAGTTGCTACTTTGTAATAAAATTGTTTGCATAAAAATTACTATTTACACATTAAATACAAGTCATTGACTTTAAAACGCGCTAAAGTAAATGACTTTACGATTTTTTTTTGACTGAGTTATGATATATTGAAAATTTTGTGTCATTTATAGTGAAAACGAAATTATTGTGAATTCGAAAATTATTCAGTATTTATTCTTTAGCTTAAAGAGATCAACCTATTGACTATTTTCTGTTGAAAATTTTTTGGCTCTTAATTATTTATTTGTTACAAAAGGTTCGCATAAGTTTATATGTATCACAGTTGAGAAAAGTTTAACTTTTTTTTAAAAATAGGTGGCAAAATAAAGTTAAATTTCTTAAAAATTTCTTGAGTCGTTTTTTAAAATTGTTATTGCAAATTTACAAATAATTTTCTTGTTTGTAATAATGTTTTAAATAAAAAACTTAATTAATCCAAATATGAAATTTGCAAAAAAATAATACTAAATAATTTTCGAATTCACAATAATTTCGTTTTCACTATAAATGACAAAAAATTTTCAAAATCTCATATTTCGGTCCAAAAAAATCGTAAAGTCATTTACTTTAGCCCGTTTTAAAGTTAATGACTTGAACTTTAACGTGTAAATAGTAATTTCCATGCAAAAAATTTTATTACAAAGTAGCAACTTGCCAGATGTGACATTTTTTTAAAAAAAACAAATTGCTTTGTTAAAATACGCAATTTTTTGCAAAAAATTGAGATAAATTAAGATAGTAATTTTTAGGTGAAAGTAGAACATGATATCCTGAAATTTTTATGAAAATTTATTCCTTTTTGAAGAAGTTATGACACTTTGAAAAATGACAATTTTTTAGAAATTTTAAGTGTCCTTAATAATTTGGAAGGGTACTGTATGTTAATTTTTCCTAAAGTGGTTGCACTTTTTTAGAAATAACTAAAGTATGTTATTTTGCTATTTATTCAAATCAATACTTAATTAAAATCTTGTACATGTTTTTAAATGTAAAAGTACAGCAATAAGTAGGAGCATATAACCACCTCTTATACAATTGCAGAAAAAAGTTTCGAAACATTCTTGTCGTATTACGCTATCAATAGCTTAAAAAGTGATTAAGATTTTAAGTGCAAAAAGAACAAAATTTGGACCATATGGCATTGCCTTCTTGTTGCTATCTCACTTTTTCACATTGCTATCTTGTTCACTTTCTCTTTTCTTTCCTTATTCTTGTTTAAAATCACAGTACTTTTTTTAATCACACAACTTAGAGCAGAATAATTTTCATAGTTTAATTTCTCTATGTATCAAAAACTCGTAAACGCTGTCACCTCGGTTTTGTTTGTTCAACTTAAGGTTACAATTGATTTGGACCATAAAAACGCTAAATTCTAAAATTTTGAAAAAACGAAGGCGTATAAAAAATGTACAGAGAGTATAATGAAATGAAAAAAAGTATATCCGATAATAAGCTCGGGAATTATAGGTTGTTTAACTTACAGCAAAAAATACAACTTGGTCTACTCTACAGGCCGCAGAAATGCGCTTGTACGGATCTGAAATTCGATGTTCTGAAAAGGCCGTATTTTTTATGAACTTAATATGAATTTCTCTTAAAAAATATTGATTAGTTCAAAAGTTTTGAAATTTAAAGTGCTTTTTCCCTCGAATTTCTTCCTATTTTTTCGTTATTTTACATTTTGTTTTGCTGAGTAGAAACTGTATAGAATTAAAAATTTAAACTTATGAAAGGCTTATGCAGAAAAATGCACAAGCCGTATGACGGGATACAGCTATTTAACATTTGATAATAAGTTCCAGAAATATTAATTACAAGATGTGATATTTACCATTCCTTATGAATTATTTTTATTTATGGAATTTTTTTCAATTTCTCTGCTTTACATTGACTATTTATCCATTGAAATAGAGAAATTCATTTTTTTCTTTTCGAGCTCTTTTTTGTATAAGTTTGCAATTGAGTTGATGTCAAACAAATCACAAATTATGAGAGAGATTGCATGTTGCCGGATATAAATCTTAACATTAGTGATTAAATTTTTAAAATTTAACTAAACATAATACAAGTGAGATAAAAACCGTTTTCTATTTGAATTGCTGCAAGTCTCGTCAACGAGTAAAATTACTTCTTATTTATCCTTGCCTAATCACATATTCTGTATTTATAATTTTGCTTATTTCTTCTCCAGAACAGTTTGCTATTTTGTAAATCTAGGAAATTGCTCATTGCGTAATGATTAAGAATTTTATAAGCTGTTCTTACATAAAATTATAATGACTATATAATTTACTCACAAAATGTACTTTGTTTTAGTGAAAATGTCAACTTTAAAAAACAAAATAATACTGAATACGAATTAATTACGGGAGTTGATGAGCGGAGACTCTCACTCGAAGAAAAACAAAATCTGATAAAATTACAGTACAGATTTCTGGTAAGAAAGAAAATATAATTATAGTATTAAATGCCAAAAAATGCGGTATTAAAATTATTCTTTTGTTTTTCTTTCTGTTCATATGGAAACGGTTTACTGGAAATTCTGATTGTCAAACGTATAGTACTTACTACCACACATTTAGTAACAATTATAAAACCCAGAAGTAAATTTAACCGAATATATGGTTTTTATGTCATGCTCTAAGGTATTATGATAAAATTACGAAATTTACTTACACATTACAAAACAGTATTACACATCATAAAACCATATTTCATTATGGTTAACTTTACGAAAATCTTGCCCAAAGCATTTCGGTAAAAATTTCTGGGGTATTTGGTGTTCCCATAGATCCAGAAACACGCTGAATTTTACCATATTCTGGTAGATTTGACCACATTTTTTTTCTCAGTGAAGTTGTATAAAATTTTATTTCTCTCTCGAGATCTCCATTTTACAAGCTCGCGCTTGACCTGTGATGTCCAAAATAACATAAAAAAGTTGGAATAAAATAAAAATAATAAAATAATGTTATATTAGGTGATACCAGATATGAATCTTATTAATTATATCAAAATTTTTACAAACGTAAAGTACTCAAAGGAAGTAAAAGCCATTTCCAATTTAAACTGCTATTTGGTATAAGGTTATTGTTATGCGCTGTTAACAATTAAAATTATTTCTCATTTATTGCTTCGTATTGCATTGCACATTCCGTATTTTTAAGTAAACGGATTTTTTTTCTTTATGTCAAGTATACAGTTTATTGTTTTTTAAATTCAGGAAATCTTCCATTCCGTTACTATTAACAAAAGAAAAACAATTTGACTGAAAATTATAATGAATTTATATTTTGTAAACAGTGCTTTATTTATATTTTGTCTCCCTTTTTTGGAAAAATAGTTTTGTGAAAAAAATAACAATGAATAAAAAGCAGCAGTTGGATAATATTTTATATAAATAAAAAAGTATCTCGCAATTTTTATTCCAGTGTTTTATGCATAAAAAAGCATTCTGCTCCGTTTTCCCACTTTTAAAGTTACCGAACACTTTTATTTCTTAAATTCTCTTACATCGTGAAAGAAATATTTCAATAATTTATAATTTTCTCTGTACAAATGTTTCACTGGCTCAAAGCTTGTACACTTCTTTCAAAAAAGGTGTAGAATACAATAGTTTAATATTGAGCGCGTAAATAAGTTAACATTCACACGAAATGTGCAATCTACTTTATTCATGAATTATAAATATTTAAAGATTTTGTGGACAAAAAGTTAATTTTGGTAATGGAAATTGAAAAAAAAATCTTAACTGTTCCTATAGAAAAAATTTCTTCAAATTAAACTAATTACTGTCTTAGTTGTTGTAGTTGTTCATTTACGTCGCACTAGAGCTGCACAATGGGCTATTGGCGACGGTCTGGGAAACATCCCTGAGGATGATCCGAAGACATGCCATCACGATTTAGATCCTCTGCAGAGGGGATGGCACCCCCACTTCGGTAGCCCGATGACCCGTACGCGAAGTCGAGCACTTAACGGTAGAACAGTTTAACGAGGACCAATACCGCACACTCTCGGTCCCTACGCAGGCTGATCCAAGTGGTCACCCACCCGCGCACTGACCGTAGCCAGTGATGCTTGACTTCGGTGATCTGCTGGGAACCGTGTCTTAACGATCAGTCCACTGCGGGACTACTGTCGTAGTAAAATAGCAATATAAAACAACGAAAGCAAATAAATTCAAGAATAAATATTTATTTACAAATTATAACACGTATGAGAGAGAAGTGGCAAAACTATGTAATTTATATTTGGTAAAACCTCTCGTTGGTTGAGAAGAAAAAATGAAGTCAATTCGACATAACTTTCTCTGAAACAAATATTTGACAAAAGTTGTAGGTAGAACGGTATTCTATCGAAGCTCTTTCCTTATATCCATCATCGTAGTTCCCACCTAAAATAAGAGAAAATTTGTTAAAATAAATAGTAATAACATTTTAAAAGTTAGCAGAAGAAGTTATTATTCTAATTAAAACCTCTTCTTAATTAAAATTTAACATATGCATTTAATTAAGAGTACTAGTAATAAGTATGTGCATATAAACAATTCATATGCAGTCACTGAAAAAAAAATAACATTTTTGGAAAATTTTCATATTAGTGTTCAAAATTAGAGAATATTTTGTATTCATGTTTTAAGTTTCATGTTTTCAAGATAAAATTATAGTTTTATATATTTTTAGATAATCCAATGAACATAAACTTAAAACGAGTACTTAAAAATAAACAATTCGTATTACAAAACATCTAAAAAAATTCGCAAAAGTATACACTATTTTATTTCATTCATTTTAAACATTTTCCTAAAAAAATCATCAATCGCGTTAAGATTTCTATAAGAAGGATAATATTAGAAATAACGTATTATCAAAATGAAACTGCGTAGCAAATATGGAGATTTATTTCATTTTTGAAATATTTTAAATCTTATTTTCTTCATTTTAAAAATAACTTACATTTTATTTATCTTGCATCTAAAACAATGCTTACATGTTTCTGTTTTATTTTTTTTAAATAATTTTATCTCCTGTTTCCAAATGTATGTTTTAAAAGACAATTGTATTTAGTCTTGTTTTTGAGATAAGTATATGACAGTAAAGATAAATAAAATTTATGCCGTTTACTTTAAGACAATCTATATTCTATAAAAACTAGTGTTGATTAGGCTTATACAACACTGTAACTATATATTTTGAAGATTTTCAATTATTTTTTCATTATTATTCATTGAATATCGCTCAGCAGCTCAACGCGAGAATACGAATGCTCTGAAAGTCAGAGTTTTTCCTTTGAAACGGATATCATATTAATGTTCTAATTAAGATGCTTGTATACTCTAAATAGCCTTTGTTAATGCTTTGTTACATATTTCTGAATTCATAATTGAATATTTAGTCACCGGTTTCAAATTATTATTCTAAAGTTTGAAAACAATTACAATTTAAACAGTTTTGTGTGGTTAAAACAATTTACCTATATCATAAATATTTAATAATGTCCTCCAAAAGCATAGCCATATCCTAAACTTTTGCCAGCTCCATAGCCCAATTCAGCACCATGTCCAAGACCAACTCCATAACCAAGACCTGCACCATGTCCGAGAACGGCTCCATATTCAAGAACTGCACCATGTCCGAGAGCGGCTCCATATCCAAGACCTGCACCATATCCATATCCTAGACCAGCATGACCATAGGCTACTGGAGTGGCGGCAACCAAGGGAGCAGCAATACCATGACCAACAACGGGTGCAGCGTGGGCGATATCAGCAGGAGCAGCGTATGGGCTGGCGATGACAGCAGCTGCTGGTGCACTATGAGCGGTACCGGGTTCGTTGGTCTTGACAACAGCTCTGAATCCATGTCCATCAGCAACGTATTCAACCTTTCTTGCTCGTCCATCGATGTCAGCGAGAGTGTATGATCCTTTCTTGTTTCCATGAGCATCTCCTACCTCAGATCTGGAATTAGTGGCTCCTTTACCATCCTTGATGTCATAAGCAAAAGCGTAGTTACCATGTCCCTAATGAAGTTAAATAAATACATGAATTTCAAATAAACATATTTTGAAACATTTCGTTTCAAAAAAGAAAATGTATTCTTACATCTTGAACTTGTTGTCGTGCACTGACACCAGTATTGACTAAGTGTCTGTGTCCAGCAAGGAGAAGGCTAGCATTGGCTGCGGCCAAGACAGCAAAGAGAATGGATACCTAAAAATTTGACACGTTTGAAATATGCTGCATAAAATAAATATGCCGAGCCTCTCGGCGAGAATAACGATACTTTTCAAAATCTTCATTTTACAGGACAGTAAAAATAATTCATTTAACCCATATGCATTTCGAAAAATTTCAAATAGTTATATTTTAATTTTTTAGTTGAAATCTTAAGTTACTTGCTAATATAATCTACTTAAAATACCAATTATTCATTATAAAAGTAAAACCATTCTATACCATAATATGCGAAGCTAAATAATTTGAAAAAAATATTAATATTATCTTTAAAAATCTTCATAGTTTAAAAGATGCTCTATTGTCAGCTCTGAGACCGTTACCCTCAAAACATTTAGACTGTTGTTTCCTTCTTAGACTGTTGTTTTTAAATTTCGTAAGGGACTGTCAAATTATGTATTAATAATTCTTTTTAATAAACAAATAAGAATTTATCTACATTTTTGTTTAAAGCATATTTATTAGATGTTTTAGAATATTTTATGAGATTTTTTAAAAATATTTTAATTTGTAAATTTTCAAATAATTGCTTGTATTTTTAACAATGTTCAATTGTTTTTTAAATAAAATTAATCTTTTTTCTTTAAAACTGTAATTATGAAAAAAAATGTTAGTTTTTTAACACTGAAACAAAAATAATATATGATTTATTGCCATTCAAATATTGACATCTTTTTCTGACATTTCAAATGTGTATTATTTTGCAGTAGATATAATGTTTAATTTAGCACATTCGCAAAATATACTAAAGCAAGAATTATATTTTTCTTAAATTGAGCCTTTGTTGAAAGAAAAAAATACAGTTGATTTAATTGCGCAACGAACTGATTTGAAACTATAGTATATACTTTTGATATTTGCAAAAATATGAGTTATGAGGTTACAAAACGGTTCAATATATATTTTAGCTAAATTTAACTTTTTTATTTTAGCTAACTATAATTTTTTAACACTAATTTTTTACCGAATTCTATATAAATCATGCAATGATAATGCAGTTAAGGATATTTTTTTGTTAAAGCAATTGTTTTCTACTTTTATTATACTCAATAGCATGCAGTTACTGTTTCAATAAAAACGACATGATTATAAAATTTTATTTCGTTCATATTTAATTTTTTTACGACATTTATTTAGAATTTGTGATCTCATATGCAAGAAATCACATGTCAGAAAATAGTTGAAGGTTGATAAAAACCCATACAAGTTGAAGCGCTTTATATGAAACTTCAATTGTTTCAGCTTTTATATGTATCGGAATTAATTAAAATTAGTAATTCTGTAATAACTTAAATACTACATTATTTCTTTTACTTTTGGTACTATTTATAGAAAATTATTTCCCAAAACTAATGTAAGTTTTACTTGATAGAAAATTCATTCACTTCAAAAATTCTTTTTATGAATTCTTGAAGTGATTCAAACTTTTAATCAGATAATATCTTACCGATTCCCTGTTTCTTGAGACAGTTTAATTAATTTAAGTTAAATTGCGTTTAAATTTATTTTACTCTTTATCCATTTAATTTTAAGAAAGAATTATTTGTAATTTAGTTTCATGCATAGTTATGAAAATGTAATTTTGAAATGTCTTTCTTAAAATAATTTTTATTAATGCGTCTTATACTTGTTCTAAGTTACAAAAAATAGCCAGTATCATTGCCCATAATTTTTTTTTAATTTACTCATAATCGTTGTTAAAATAAAACAGAAAAAGTCCAAATATAAAAGTTTTATGATTAAGCAAATTTATTTAAGAAATCGATTTTCATTTTAAAGTAAACTAGAAATGCTCTGACTATTCATTTAAATGCTTGTTTTGCTCAAAACATTTGAAGATTTAACTTACCTTAGAGATCATGTTGAGTTTGTAAGCGAAACTGAATTTCTACAATGTTCTCTGCTCGCACCTTCCGTTTTTATACAAACTACACAAGGTCGCTTTCAATAAAGTTTGTGAATTACCTGTTATAAAACGGAGAGATAAACCGTTTAGTAAAAAAAATGCCCCGCCCTTAAGAAGGACAAAGTCTTACTGATAGAACCTGACAGAGTAGTTAAGAATCGAAAAAACTAAAAACATTACCGGCCGGCTTCGAGCTCTAATGGAAATAATGGGAGTAATGTAAGTTATATTTCACGTTGGTGCAAAACATAACTCCTTGAGGAAAGTCTAGTTTTTATTGGAATTTATGTAATTTTTTGAAAATTAATCTTAAGGTAAACTGGCACTGGAAGGAATTGTATATTACTAAATTATTTAAAGCAGCTGTCTCAGTTACTACATCAGTTAGCTATTGCGGGAGGATTCATTTTTTATATTATGTCAAAATTTTCTAAATTATGTTCATATGCTTATTTTCTAATTATTATAATTAGTGCATGTAAATAAAACAAATACTATTTTAGTTGTAAAATTTAGTTAGAGATAATTATATTGAAATTTATTTTTATCGAGCTCATTATGTATATTTTGTTCTCGTTTTTTTTTAAATATATTAATTTGATTTAAGTTCTTGTGTAATATAGTAGCAAATAGGATTCATGGAAGCAAAAATGTTGTATTGGAATAGTTAAATTTCTATTTCGTCAAATTGTACTGATTAAATTAAAACCTCATTGTTTTGTAAAGAAAAAGTTTAACAGGTCTTAAAACTTTAAGTCTTACCATTTTTTAAAAAAATATCGGGTGAATTGAGCAGGGTTAAATACTTGACATTTAAATTTTCAGGATAAAATTCGGGATAAAATTCTTCGGGATTGAAATTTTTGGGATGTGTTCTTAAACTTTAGACGCATGATTATTTACTTTAATTTATTCTATTTTTTTTTCAAAAGAAATGCTCAATGTTTTGGGCGGTCAAAGCTAAAGGATGCTCTGGAATTTTGAAAAAAAAAGTATCAATTTACCCTGGGCAGTGCTTTTTGTGAAATGAGTGAATCATGACCCTGGCCGTTATTTTATGTTCTATACTAACTATTAAAATGTACAACACTTACTGTTGACCTTTCCCTCGAAAGTCAAAGGTCATTCAAAAATCTTCATTATATGACTATTTTCTTAGATTTTGATCGTCAAAATTTACTTGTGCTACCACTAAAGAGCAAAATTAAGCATGTTAATGAATACATAACTAATGAGCATTATCTAAGACAATACACAAAAACTGTGGTGTAATATCTATATAAATATGTTGGAAAAAAAACAAAAAATTTTAAGGAGCATTTTAGCTATAGGTTAGCACCAAATCGATCGTTCATATATGATTTAAGGGGTGTAATTTAAATCTACACTTAAAATTGAATGAGCTGCACCGATAAACCGATCACCCTTTTACACTATATGGAAAGTATTTTCCCTTCCGAAAACAACTATGTCGGTGCTCTGCCAATTTTCTTAATAATTTGTCTGCAATCAGAAATTAACTGGCGAGAGTTTGCTATTATCTTCTACTTTGATGTTCATCTTCAAAATGTCGCCTTTAAAATATGTATTAACACTGTAAATACTGTGGTGTAATATCTATTCGAATTTGGTGTAAAAAAACTCTAAATACTTCGGAATGATTACTTTATTACAAGTTAATACCGAATTGAGCAGAGTATTCTTACACATTTTAAGGAGTGTAGTTTCATCTTAACTTAATTAATCATAACCTAATTTTCAATAAATGTGAAATAATTTTGATTATTAATAATAGGTAACGATAACTTTGAATTATATAATAGCTCAAATTATAAACATTATTTTATTTTCCTGACATTTTTTTATATATTTAAAATTTCTTTATTAATATTGAGATTTATGGTGACATTTAATCTCTCCCTCTTTCTCTTTATTGTAGTTATTAATTTGTTATTTTTCGCATTATTTTTGACATGAAGTCAAACGCGATCTAATAAAATGAAGATCTCGAGTAAGCTATAAAAATTTGCATAATTATGGATGAGCAATAATTAATGAAAATAAAAATAGTCTTGAGAAATATAATTTGCAACAAACTTTGAACAAGTTGAAGTATTGAAAAAAATATGCGTAAAATTCATCACGACAAAATTCAATCCTGTTGCTACATTTCTGCGGGATGTAGATCGACCCAACTGGTGTTTTTTTTACAAAACGTTTAATAGCTAATAATTCTCGTATTAATGATCGAATTTTTTTTATTATTTTTTTATTTAATCGTATTTCTTCAAGAAGTTTTTAGACACCTTCGTAATTTCAAGCTTCCACGTCTTATACTTTTTGTGCAGCTAAAAATATGCAACACACCTCAAAAAATCGCAAAAATTTTCTTAAAACTGCAATAACTTTCCAAAAAGGTCGAGTTTAATTCATGCACAAAAATGTCCCTTTCTACATGTTAAATGTCAACTCAATAGTTGCATTTCTATGATCTGCAGAGGGGCACGCATGGCATTTTTTACCACAGTTTTAACAGTTAATTATTCTCAAACTAATTTCCGAACTCTAAATTCTTTTATCTCATGGTACTCCCTGTACATTTTTCTGCACACTTTCATAATTTCCAGTTTCTAATTTTTATAGTTTATGCACTGTCAAAACAGAGGCGCCATTCTTCTCGATTTTTTATTATAGAGAGGTATTATAGGTATCATTTTCATAATTCTATGTCATGTTCAAATTTAAAATAATAGAATAAAAGAATTTCGTATGACATTTGGTATTTTTTACGAATGATTAAACTTGCACAATTCTTCTTTAACACGTCGAGTGTCAAGTCAGTCTTTCGTGACGAACACTGTAACACTGACTGACAGTGTAAAGTATGATATGAAACTAAATAAAATTGACATGTTTTAAGTAATTACTGTAATTTTCTTAAAAAATGTAGTTAATTTTTATTTAATAAAAACCAAATTCTTATTTATTTCAATCTCTTAGTAGTATTGCTCCAAAGTATGAGAGCTTCTAGGCAGTGGGTGAGGTCTAATGGAGATTTCTTTAACACTAGATTGCCCAATTAGAAAAACAAAGATGTATACAATGACACAATGTTTTAGAATTTTGAGACTTTTATAATTATTTTTATTGTTGATATTTACTAATAACTTGTTATTTAACTGAGAATAATATCAAAAATATTAAAAATTAATTTTAAACAAATTTTTTTATACATTAGTTATTCTTTCACATTATGGTCATTTTAATTGCTTTTGGGTAATATAGGTATTTCAGTCTTTCTAGTGTTAAAAATACGCCGGCCACGTACAGTGAAAATATTGCCATATCTGTAACCGGCATCTTTACTACATATTCTAGACAAAGATTCTTTCTATCTAGCTATAATATTATTCATAATTTATAAATATCGTCTCTATTACAAAGTCATAATGTCGTGTCTATTATCACATTAGTCATGAATGTCACCTGGTAAGATGACTGGCAACAGATAGGATGCTTTAAAAAACAAAAATTCAGGAAACTGAAAAATTCTGGAAAAAAATGTATTGAAAATCTGTTCAATTCAAACTAAGAACATAAAAATTCTAATTGAAAAAAATTTATTTTTACAAAATTAAGGCGACAAGGGACCTTCAAATTCGATAAAAATGACGAAAATATCGAATTTTTATTTTACTCTCATTAAATAATCGATAACGTTTGCTTTCATATAAAAACAAAATTTCATTTTGGATAATTTTTTCGGAAGTTATCAGCATTTAAAATTTTGTAAACAGCCTGCCACGTCCCTTTTTACAGCTGTAGCAGAAGCCCGCAAACCGAAACTAATTGTAATTTCTCAAAAATTAATAGTATTTTAATTTTTTTTAAATGATTTTTTGCTCACCTTAAGTTTACTAACTGTTAACTGCACTGTTTGTAGCGTCGCTGATTTGTTTTAGTTTACATTGCGATTTGCTACTTCTATTTTCCTGCGCTTCTACTAGTATTATTTTGAAATATTATTACTGCATTGTTTGTTATTGTTTTCGATTTTATTTATTTATTCAGTGTTATTTATATCAATATTGTTTTCGTTTTATTGAACTTGCATTTTTCATAATGCATAGTATCAGCTCTAAATGGAGGAAACCGAAAGGTAGACCTTCAAAGAAACGAGCTACTGGGCTAGCTAATTTCAAGAAGGGGCTTGAGAAAAAAAAAGGGGATAAATAAGTCTTCGGGTATTCGAACATTTTCTGTATATTTTGCATGTGTACTGAATATATTTGAAGTAGCAAATAAATGTTAAGTATAAATACAACATCAAATTATTGTATTTGTAATAGTAATTTGTCTGAAAATAATAAAATCTTAGTAAAAATATAAGTGTGTTACAAAAAAATCCATTTTGAAACAATTCCAAAATACTATCCAAATTAAGGCGATATGAATGCAAAAGCTTCTAAATTTATAAAAGATATAAATAACAGATATTTCATTCTTACATATACTTGTATCAGAGTAGTATTTCTGCTAAAAGCATTTTTATTCATCGAAAAAGTACCCAACGCTTAAATTTTTCGGAAAATTAATATTATACGAACAAAATAAAATAAGCTGCAGGAATATAATAATTATATTTTTTTTAATGTTTTTTTTAACACAGTCAAGTATTTATCTAAGTTTTACAGAACGTGTAATTATTTGTAAATAGTAGTAAAAATATATAATTTTTTTTATAAAAAAAACCTAAAAATGTTGTTTTCCTTTATTCCAATTTTTCAGCATTTTAGAAATTTCGAAAAGTTTCAGGCGGTTTAATTTTTATTCAAATCATTAAAAAAATTTTGTGCATGCTAAATATGTATGTATGATCATTTTGTACTATCAAAATAAATAATGCTGCAGTAATTAGAGCAAGTATATTCAAGATCGTTGTTTACGACTACATAAATTTTCAATTTTTTTGGTATTTTTACATTATTTTTTTTCTTTAACAAAAGCATTTGATTAGTGAAATTGGTGCATAGTACATTTTGTTACAACGTCTTTAAACAACTTTTAAAAAAAATTTGAACACAATATCTCAAAAATTAAGCAGCCTGGAGCATTTTTAAAAAATATTATTTTAAAATTTAAAATTTTTAATAAAATTTAAAATTTTGACAATTGTTCAACAAACTTTTATATGGTATCTTGTATTGCCTATATCCACTAGCTGACCAATTTTCAGAATGATTAAGTGAAAAATAAAAAATAAAAGTTTGAACATCCCTTGTCGGTAATAGTCATAACATTATCAGAACTAAAAAGCTTCCGCTTCATCAAACAAATATTGAGCAATCAAAATAGCTGTTTTGATTTTTTTCTGAATTGCATTAACTGATGTATTACTGATAACAGTGTTGTTAGTAAATTCTAATTGTTCAGTTTTTTAAAAAAAGTGTAAATAAGTGTAAATCATACAGGATGTCAATTTTTGAACAGCCGTATAATAAAAAATGACAAAAAATTCTACCTTTCCATATTTTATAATTGCGTTCTCTTTTGTTTCTAAGAAGAATTACTTGATATTTCTTTAAATTAAAAAAGTATCTTTGCGAATTATAGACATGCACGCATAAAATCCGATACGGAAAAAAATTACCTCTTACTTTACATCTAATTAGGAAAAAAAAGTTATTTTTTGTTTAAGGTATTATGTTCTCAGAAAATCATCGTCATTTAATCAATGAAATACAATGAAATACAATCCTGTGTTTGAGAATAAATTGTAACATGCAACTCAACAATGCTATGTATTTTTTCTTTTTTTAATTCAATGTGCTTCTAAAGTAAAAATTATCTAAAACACTTACTGTCTTTGCATATTAAGAAGCAGTCTTTTTCAAAAAAATCCTGCAAATCAACCAAGATTAGATGTTTGAAAGTACTCATTTAGAAGTCACTATGTTGAAATTTTTAGGATACGTGTGTTTTCCTCAATGTTTTAGAAGTCAAAACTGAAGATCTTCCGGAATTGTCAGAAAAAGCCATTTACATCCATATATTGTTGAGAATTTGGAATACCTTTAGGGAAATGGAACCACGACGCTCACCATTGTTTTGTGTTCTGCACTAACTATAAAGTCATAAATACTTTCAGTGGACCTAAGCATTGAAGCTCAAAGGTCATCCAAAACATTTTAAATAGGACTATTTTCTTTAGACTGTGACCGTCAAAATCCACTTGTGCCAACAGGGAACCACAAAAGTATGTGATTTTTGGGAGTATTTACTAATTTGTAATACCTTAAAAAATCAACATTGTGTGATGCACATTTGTTAAAATTGACCTTTAAAACTGAAATGTTTTCCCAAGTGCTCGCAAATATTATTTAAACACATAATAAAAACATATGACGAGAGGGTGTAGGGAAATGGGACATGTGACAAGGGTGTAGAGACACGTGACAAGGGTGAAGAGATATCAAAAAAGTGTGACACTTTTTTGAGAATATGAAGATCAGTAATATCTTTAAAAGGTGTGGCCATCATTTAAAAATGATCCTTTATCGTACATGTTTGCGTTAATTTTGACCACTTATAAGTTAGTGTGTATGTTTATCTGTGTGTTTCACTTATATAACTCGTATATATAATAGAACTCCTGAACTGTATGTGTCATATTAGGATTTTGTCATTTCGACTGCGGTTTCAGCCTCCATTCTAAAAATTGTTTAGAAATTTTAATTAGTCTTTTCGGGAGGGAAGTTGGAAAAAAAAACTTTATAAAACGCTCTTTATGGAGAATAAGTCTGTACATATTTGAATAATTATTTATCTTTGATAGATTATTTAGATAACCATAGGCAATAAACGTCAATTAATTAGTTGTTAGAAAAATATTTGAAACCAGGTGTTAATTGTGTTTACAGTTACGCTTTTAAAACATGTTTATAGAAATTTAATGTGAATAGTAATTTAAATTCAAATAAGATATGTAATAAAAATTGATTCGTTGAAAAGAATGCTTGATTGTAGTAAATTTATCGTGTATGAAGCATTTTTTTCATTACATCATCAATGGCATTATAGTGATCAATGGCATTATTTTCGCTGACAAGTTGTACCAAAAAAGCCGGGTGATTGAGTAGTAGCTCTACGTGCTTCCGGGGATTCTAACCTTGGATCGAACAAGTTTAACTCAGCCTTCAGTGGGTCGATAAGATAAGTACCAATCATGCTTGGGGACTAAACACTGGGGGTTCCATGTTCGACTGACTACTCGACCAGAACATCTGCTCATGCATCTTAGATGCCATGTTCAAGAAAACTGGGATGAACACATTAGGCCATGTACCTCCTTGTGCTGTTCGACCGCTGAGTTTAGAATTGTTTAGTTTTATAATAGAGCGCTCGCCTCCCAATAGAGCGCTCGCCTCCCAATAGAGCGCTCGCCTCCCACTGAGGTGACCCGGGTTCGATCACAGTGAAAGCTGATTGATTCGAATTTAGTACCAGGCTCGCACCGGCCACAGTGCTAACGAAAAAATATCCTTAGTGGTATCCTCATGTGTTAAAATATCTTTGCCATCAGGCTAACCGTGGAAGATTTTCGCGGTTTTCCTCTCCAGTTCCAGTACGTGTAAATTCATAACGTAACGTAAGATTCCAGTACGTGTAAATTCATTTGAATTCATTACTTGCTTTTTAGATTACGTTTTGTGTTTTGAGCTGTATTTTTCTTATATTTCCTTTTCTGTTTTTCGCTTGACTTAATTAGTTCTATTTTCGTATCAATTTTGAATGATCCTAACACTATTGTACTGATATATTTTGGTACTAAATGTCGCTGTACTGTACTCCTCCCAAAGAGGTAAGGCGAGTTCAAATCCCAACGATGGCAGGTTAAAATAAATCCGCACCCGGGTCGCACCGAAAGCAGTGTTGATATTAAATATCCTCAGTGGTAGACGGATCATGGGTTAGAGTCCCCTTGCCGTCAAGCTAACCGTGGGAGATTTTCATGGTATTCCTCTCCATGTAACGCAAATGCGGGTTAGTTCCATCAAAAAATCCTCCACGAAGGCGAAATTTTTCCCAATACAGGAGCTCCCTGGTCTTCCAGGTTCGGTTCAAAATTACAAGGCTACGGAATTCAGCAGTAGTAGCCGTAAATCCTAAATTGGGTCGGCTGTTCAATGAAGTTTATAATTTAAAATAAAAACTACTCTTATTAATCTTATAAACGGTAATAACCGAAAAAATACCAAATATTAAAGAATTTTAATTTTTTTTTAGTTATTTTTTTAATTTTTTTAAAATTATTTTAATTCATACTGATTTTAGGTTTAGTGCACGATAGTTTGGTTTTAATAATCACAGATTTATTTTTCTATTTATGACCTTTTACTCCACCCAAAGAACGGGTATTTAGATAGAATTGAGTAAGGAAAATGTTTGAATCTGAACTAGCTTTTGATATAGATTTAAAATAAAAATAAAGTATGTATATTTCTCAAACTCTCACTTAATATGGATGGCATTGAAAAGATGATCTTATTTCCTGCCTATCATTATATAAGTTTGATAAATGATATGCATGATGAGTGTGAGCTGTATGAGTGCTATGAATATATAAGCTGTATGAATATATGAGTGTTAAGCTGTAAAATATTAATTGACAGTTTTTCTTCTTCTTTTTGTAAGATATTAACTTACGTTTGCAAATACAAAGCTTTGTGATAATAAATATATGTATTATCTGAAAAAAATAGTTTCTGGGTAATTCAATCGTCATTTATTTACAAAATTTGCTGCATATAACAAATAAATAAATAACAAGACCGAAACATTTGCGCATTACATGAATGAATAGTATCCCACTTATTAAAGCATTATTTCCATACAGAAGACGATGCAATAAACAGAAGATCCATTAAAAACAAAGCACATTTTAAAATGCGAAGACAATCTTTACAAACTGAAAGCTGTTCAATATTTTTGCATCCTGATAAATACTGAAGGCTATCTGAAAGAGAAAAATGAAATCTTTAGTTATTTTTAAATAATTCAATTAGAAAAGGATGAAAGAGTTTTAATAAACATAAGTAAGGTTTTGTAATGCATTAAAAATAATGGGAAGTGATTTCTTTTCCGCAATCTTGATGGCGCTCGTATTAAATTAGAATAAATAGTTTCACTTTTTAAAATGGAATTGGATTTTGATATCACAATAGCAGGATGAAGATGATGAAATTTTTTATACCAATTATAAGAGAGTAATCAAATAGTTAAAGCGTATCATAGTACGCGTTTTTTTACTAGGAGCAAATATGATTATTTTGTAAATAAATCTTTAAATTTATATTATTTGAACCAGCTGTTATTTATATTGCTATAGTGGGTTCATTATTTTTAACATTAAATGTACACAATGAAATTATTAACAATATCTTTCATACACTGTGTAACATACGTTTTGTTATGATTTTGTTATTTGTAACTTCAACTGCAAATTTAAACAAAATTTTTTCCCTTACCATTTGTTCCAATTATTAGTTCACCAAAGTCCACCAATACCATATCCAAGACCTTTTCCCATTCCACAACCCAAACCAGCACATCCAAGTCCAGCATGTCCAATCATTCCTCCATAAGCAATTGGAGCAGCAGCTACCATGGGAACACCCATTCCATATCCAAGGACAGATGCTACTGGAGCAGCATGTCCAATTGCAATATCAGCTGGGGCAGCGTATGGACTGGCGATGATAGCAGCAGCTGGAGCGCTAGCAGCGGTACCAGGTTCGTTGGTCTTGACAACAGCTCTGAATCCATGTCCATCAGCAACGTATTCAACCTTTCTTGCTCGTCCATCGATATCAGCGAGAGTGTATGATCCTTTCTTGTTTCCATGAGCATCTCCTACTTCAGATCTGGAGTTGGTGGCTCCTTTGCCGTCCTTGATGTCATATGCAAATGCATAATTTCCATGTCCCTGTAATAATTTTAAAAGAAATTTTTTTATACATCTTTGTATTTTGATATCAGCATAACTTTATCCGTTCTTAAATGCATTAAATGCTCTTACATCTTGGACTTGTTTTCGTGCACTAATTCCAGTATTGACCAAGTGTCCATGTCCAGCGAGGAGGATGTTGGCACTAGCTGCTGCAAAAACAGCAATGAAGACGGATATCTAAAAAAACAAATATTATTAGCAGTGAAATTCATAAAGTTTTTTTTATTGCAATTGCATTTTTAGAGACGATATAAATGCATTAGGTGTTAAATGCATGAAATCACTGCTTTCAAAACATAATGGATGATTCAGCTACATTCGCAGAAGCATCGCATGAACATTTCTCGCCCTATAATTGAGGTACATGCATGCTTTGGTTGAAATCAAAATATGAATAGATAACGCTTTTGAAATTGAGTAGTTTTACACCTCATTTTTGCACACAGGAAGGCAACACACTAACTGAGTCGATAGCTAGTTCTCTAAAGACAACCGCAGTATTATCTATGTATAGAGGTTCCAGATTTGTGCAGGCGCAGTGTTGCCTAATTTGCTCACTAATCTCTCTATAACGAAGTCAGGAAAAAATGGAAATTAATGAACAAAGTGGAGTGAGCTTAATATAACTCCAAAGACCTCACACAAATAATAAAACTTAAAAATGATTTCAACTATGTGATTAACTCCATAAATCAATTGAGTATATTAATGATTCCAAATATTAAACGGTTTATTATTGTGGAAAAAATCAAAAAGAGAAGGATTTAAAAAAATTAATTTTTTCACACTTCAACTTTACTTTTTCCTTCTTAGAACTAAAGATTTTTCTACAAAATGCATACATTAATGCATATTTTTTTCCTTTAAAAAATAAAGACTTCGTGTTGAATAAAAAACTAATTAATTGCATTCTTTGATCTAAATAATCCCATATTTAAAATTTGATATTATTTCAAAAGCATAATGGTAAGTATAGTATTTTTAATTTTCCGAGGAGTTGTTAAAAATAATGAAAATAGTGTAGAAATATATAGCAATAATTGCGTTAAGACGTATATACACTGCAAAAATTACGGTAAAAATACTGGCATCCATAAACGCCATTTTTAATGGAACATGTTAAGGAACAAAAATTCTGATACACCGTAATTTTTACAATAATAATTAAAGAAAACATCACTGAATCACTCTAATTAAATAAATACTACTGTAAAAATACGGTATAATATTTTACGGTAAAACGGATTTTACGGACGATGCACCCAAGAAACCGATACCTCATACCAAAATTTAATCCGGAATTCCTTTCAGTTTAAAAAATTAAGAGCAGACAACTATCAAAAAATTAGAAGCAGACAGCTGCCTAACACTTAATTACTTTTCAAAAAGTGTTAATTGCAGTATAGTGTTGGTATGATATTTCTTTCGGAAAAACAATCGAAATTCTTGAATTACGCCAACTACATTTTTCCTGAAATAAGGATAGTGAGTTTTACACGTTTCGATAACGATTCATTTACAGTTAATGAGTGAAAATAATAAAAAAATTATTAAAAACCTACTTATAGTTCGTCTCCTATCATTCAACCGATGAGTTCGGTCAGGTGGAAGAACACCTCCTTAAATATTTATCTATAAATATACTACTTTATGTCTGATAGTTTTTCATATAAAAAAGTAACTTTTTTTTATTCTAAATTTAAAATTTAGACTTTCAGATAATATATTACAAAATGCCTATGTATATTAAAAGGAGAGAAAAAATATCTAGTAAAATACATAACTACATAAAAAACTACGTGAAACTACATAAAAAATTACATGAAAACTACATGAAAACTACATGAAAAACTACATAAAATCTTAATTTATATTCCTAATTTATTTACTTCTACTTTATTCACTTCATAAATCTATTTACTATGAATTATGAATTGATCAATTGATTCTGTTTATTTCCATCAAAATATTTGGAAATTCTTTTTTCTTACTTAACGCCACACGCAATCGGTTTAACCACACTTTCTTTAAAATATATTTTACATTTTTAAAATATATTTCTTTAAATATATTCAACTTGCAGACTGTTTTTGTAAAATAATTTGTTACACAACATTCAATTACATGCGTCTATTCTTTTAACGTGCTTTCGAAGAAAGAAGGTTTCTTTCTTTCATAATAGAAAAAAAATGTTAGCATAATTGTTTTTTAATTATTGTTTAGTTTACATAAAGTTTGAGTTCCATCAATTATAATAATATAATACTTAATATAATAATTATAATAATTACAATAATAAAATCATTATAATAATAAAATAGTTTTAATAGTATACTAATTATAAATATATTTATATATGGATCTAAGTCCCAGCGTAGTTCTTTTTTAACACTAAATTAATAGGTAACTCATAGAAATGTTTTCAAAAAAGTGCCAATTTTTTTCCACACAGATGTTTTTCATATATAGACTACTTTTTGTGGCTGGCCATTAATTGGTTAAAACTCTATATTCTATACTTAGTGGTTCTCAAATGGTATTTCACGGAACTCTGGGGTTCCGTAGAAAACTGTCAGAGGTTCTGAGGACTTTAATTTTTAAAAAAAATAATGATTTTTTAAACATTCCATATTCCATATATCATCTAAACATTAAATCATTATTTATTTGACATTTTAATTACTATTTACGTAAAATAACAATAAGAAATACGATGCAAATTTTTAAAATAAATATTTCTTCCAATAATAATGCATTGAATAAAATATGGAAAGAATATGCATTTATAAAAAAATTACATTTTTATGCCTCATCAAATGTTTCAATTTAATATAAAATTATCAAACGATGACGGAATAAATTTTATATTCTTCACATTTGATGTGATCAAAATAATTTTTGGGTTCTTTCGGTTAATGTGATCAAGTCCTTTTTTGGTTAATATATTCACAGCTGCAAATTTTAATTAATGTTAAAAATCTAATCTATAAACCTTACTTTTCTGAAATCAATCTGTTTTAATTTTAAGTATTTAAAAGCATTTTAGTTATGCAAAATCTAATGTATAATTTTTATTAAATTTTTAAATTTTTTAATTTGAAGTTACATAACAATTACGCAATACATACAAATTTAATATGTACCTACACTGAAACTGTAGTCTTATGTACCTAAGAAAAAGTTGATATTTACAGATAAATTTCTAGATAAAGTTTGCGCAAAAATTTCTTCACTGTCATTTTTATATTCAGTAGTATTTCTCCTATACATATTTATATACTGGATAGTTAGAAATATAGACTAAAATTAAGTTAACTGTTCTCAAACCAGATATTTAAATAGGTGAAATTCAATAAATGTTGTGCTGCATTATATAACAAACCGTTTAGCATTAAAAAATAATTAAAATCAACAAAATAAATCTGAGAAAATAATTTCAATCAATAATTCAGGGAATACTATTACCTTTGCGATCATGTTGACTGTAAAATGTTGGCAATTTCAGCTATAATATCTAATCTGTAAATTTTCCAATATTTATATACGTTAAGCAAGGTCACTTAAATAAGTGTTATATCATTTCATTGATGATATGAATAATTCAAAACAAACAAACGGTATATTTTGAGCCCCACCCTTCTCTAACTGAGGATTTTAAAATTTTAATTATACTTTAAAATTGCCATCGGCGGTGACAGTGATTCGTTTAAATAGAGAAGCAGTGGGAGAAATTTAAAAAATAAAATAAACTAATGGCGTGCTAATACGTGATTTTAAACTTCGATTATTTGTAAAAAAATTGTTCATTTAACCTCGATTAATAATTGATAATAACCTTGATCTAAACTAGTCGTGGTATTTAGTGAAATATTAGCAGAACTAGGCATGATATCTTCAAAATATTTGTTTTCAAAATTTAAATAAAATTATTTATTGACAAATTTACCATGCAAAGAGGGAGCAATATATAATACATTTTTATTGTATTATCTAAACAAAAGGAGGGTGGATCTCGATATCTATATATATATATATATANATATATATATATATATATATATAAATGATTTACGGGTTATGATGAACTAGAGGAGAATTATTGAATTCATTTATAATATTTTAACTGAAGTTTTATGTTTTAAATTTTACCTCCGTGAACTTGAGTATATAAAATTCTTTTGCATTAAATAAAAGAAAAACGAACAAAATTTTCATTTTTGAATTCCTGAGAAATATAAACTTTTATACCTAATCAGTAAGATCTAAATAATATTCAATTTAACTAGAAAGAAATGGTGTATGTTGTCATAGTAATTTGTCTGCTTGACATTTTTAATATCAGTATTTTTTTCGTGATACATCTTAAGCATATAAAGCATATATGAGATTCCTAAACAACTAATACAGGAAAATAAAAGAATTATACACATTGATCAAAATAAAAAAAAGGAAACTCCCTCAATAAAGCTTCACTTAATGTGGAAATTTTCACGTAATAACTTCCTCAGAAATAAACTGTTACTCTTGACAGTTCAGAAATCCTTTGGTTGAATTTCGATAATTTTGATACTCAAAATTCAATTGAAATTTCGAAATTTCAATTTAACCCTCAAAATATGAGGAGTATAAGCAGAATAACTATAGAAAGTTTCAGCTTTTTAATGCTTATTTCACCTTTTTTGTATTTCGTCACCTCAAAGAAGACATAAATTTAAATTTTTATTTCTGAAAAACTATTATTTGTTTGATGCTTTTCAAATTTTGTAATAAACTGTCAGTTTTGACAGTTCAAAAATCTTTTGGCTGAATTTCGTTACTTCTGACCCTCAAAATTCAATTTAAATTTCAAAATTTCAGTTTGACCTTCCAAATATGAGAAGTATAAGCAGAATAACTATAGAAAGTTTTAGCTCCTTACTGCTTATTTCACTTTTTTTTTGTATTTCGTCAGCTCAAAGAAGTCATAAATTTAAATTTTTATTTCTGAAAAACTATTATTTGTTTGATGGTTTTCAAATTTAGTTTTTATCAGTAATTGCAATTGCGTAAGTGAAATTGTTTCACTTTTCTTTTAAAATTCCTTTAAAAAAATAAATATAATGAACTAGGAAGAATATGGCATTTATACGCTTTTTGATAAGAGCCCCACCTTTTTAATGTTGATCAACCTTTAATTCTTTAAATAATGTAAATTTCTATGATGAAATGTGAAGGAATTTGAGTGATTCTTACAATAAATAGGTATCAAAAAACTTTTAAAAAAATATTTGAATTTTTATGAAAGGACACAAAAAGTTGAAAGAAAGCTATAAGTACTGCATCGTATTACATCTGACATATTGAGGAGATTCCAATGCTGATGCATATGCTGATCTTATGATTTATTAAAAAAAGTAGAACCTCGATGGTTTCGGCAGTGTCAGTCGCATTAGTATGAAAACCCTTAATAAATTTTAAACTGACACTACTTAAAAATAAATTTAATTGTTTGGGAAACTTTATGTTTCATTCATATTTAGTTACTTCTTTCAACTTGCTTTTTTTTCTTCTTTCGAAATGTCTCAAAAATTCTAGAAAATTCTAATATTTGATTTAATTTTTGAAGATTGTGCTTAAAAACGTTTTTTATCATATTTTATAATGCTTTACTTTACGGACGACAAAACAAACATATAATTAGAGATACATCATCACGATAAAAATTGTAAATTCCAAATAAACTTATCTTTTTGCTATATATACAGCTAACATCACGTCAAAAATATGAAATTAGTTTTGTTAAAAAAAAAACTTATTGAAACCTTTAAATTCTTTCAGAAGTAGCATATATTTAGATTATGCTTTATTTTTTCATTTTTATATTGTCTTAAATAAAAGTACGTTTTAATAAAGCACTGTGGAGTTATAGCTATGTTATATCATATCTTCATCATAGAAACGCCATCAATTTTCCTCATAACAAACTTTATCTTAAGAAAGAAATAGTGTCGCACTTTATATTATATTTTAATTTTAAATTCTAAGGAAGAGAATATCTTTGAAACTGTTATATTTATTAAAAAATATTTGATGTTAAAAAGTATGAGAATTTTGGTGAGGTAATAGTTTTGTTTTAGAAAAGTTCGAAAATAAGAAAAATATTATTCCTAATTAAGAAAGAAATACTGATACACATAGTGCATTACATTTTAATTTTAAATTCTAAATAGGAAAATATTTTTAACACTGTCTTATTTATTCAAAAATATCACATTTTGATAAGGTATTGTGGTATTTGTATGTAACCACATTTTGATGAGGTTATAGTTTTGTTGCAGAGAATTGCGGAAAATAAGAAAAATAGTATATTCTATAGCAGTAGGGAAAATGAATTTAAGAACTTTTTTTTGTTATTTAAAAATGTTCTTTTCTGCATTTTTCTTTATAATTTCAATTTATTTTCAAAAACTTTATTTATTGAGAAGTCATTTGTTCATAAATAAGATGATGCATTTATAAATCAACTGAAAGAAATACACTCACATTTTTTTTAAATTATTTATTTTGGTAGCTTTACTTGAAGTACTTTTCCTGTGTTGAAAAGGAAATAAAATCTGCCATTTAAATTAACAGTCTAACATATCATTTATTTCAACGCAGTAAAATTTTAATTTTCAGCAAAATTAAACCACATTTTTGTTTTCAATCTGAAAACATAATTAATTCAAAATATAGAAAACTATAATTTATTGTCGCAAAATTATATTCTTATGTTTTATTTATTCAGTGATTTTCTTATTTTGTATTCTACATAGTGAAAATTGAGATTTATTTAATAACCGTTTTGTGAGTTAATATTTTTATACCTGTACATTATGATCATAGAAAAATGAAATTTTTATAAGATATGTCTATTTTTCTCTGCAATCGAAGGTCTATTAGCTAATATGCTCAAAAACTTTTAAACTTTTTTCTTCGTATTAATTTTTTTCAGAATAAATAAGAAATAGAAATGAAATAACTTAAAAAATTTATTTTACCATATAAAAGTTACAAATCCAATGCAAATAAATAAATTTTAAATATCAATATCCAATCATTCCAACTGTAGGAATTACCACATTCCTTTCATTCCAACTCCCATAAGACCCATGCCTAATCCAAGACCATTTCCATAGCCCAAACCAGCACCGTATCCGAGTCCAAGACCAGCATGTCCAATAACTCCTCCGTAAGCTACTGGAGCGGCGGCGAGCATTGGAGCGGCAATACCATGTCCCATCATGGGTGCAACATGAGCGATGGGTGCAGCATGGGCGATATCAGCTGGAGCGGCGTATGGACTAGCGATGACTGCAGCGGCTGGAGCACTGTGAGCGGTACCAGGTTCGTTGGTCTTGACAACAGCTCTGAATCCATGTCCATCGGCAACGTATTCAACCTTTCTTGCTCGTCCATCGATGTCAGCTAGAGTGTATGATCCCTTCTTGTTTCCATGAGCATCTCCTACTTCTGATCTGGAGTTGGTGGCTCCTTTGCCATCCTTGATGTCATAAGCAAAAGCGTAATTTCCATGACCCTGTAATAATTAAAAAAATATTTTTAATTATTTTTGTGTCTTAAATTTATTATGAATTTTCTGTTTCTGAAAGTTTTAAATGGTCTTACATCTTGGACTTGTTTTCGGGCACTAACTCCAGTATTTACTAAGTGTCCATGTCCAGCGAGGAGGATGTTGGCACTAGCTACTGTGAAAACAGCGATAAGAACGGATACCTAAAAAAAATTATATATTCTTATTATTTATTAAATTAATTCATGAATATTCATCAAAATATGAAATAATAAATATTCAGTCAGTCAGAATGGAAGCTTTTTATTTTTAAAACCAGATATACTTTTCAGCTACACTTACTGATACGTTAGATTTAAATATTCTTTCAGTGAAATATTTGAAAATTAAAGGACCAAAAAAATTTTTTGATGAAAAGTGTGCTCATATTTACAGTCACATTATCAAGATTATAACAAAAAGAAAAGCGTAAAAAGTTGTTATAAAAATAAATGAGAAACATAAATTTAAAAATCCCGTTCGAAGAATAGTTAAGACGTTTTACAAGAGAAGATCTCAAGTTATAATTTGTTATTACAAGTACATAAATAAAAAAAAAAAGAATAGGCGAAAACTGATTAAACTGTTAATTTCAAACGGAAATAACGAAAATGTCAGTTCATTTATAAACTACAGTTTTTAGTTTAACTTAATAAAAGTTTAACTTGCTGACAATGAATATTAAAATATATTTCTTGAACCAAGTATGCGTATGTTAAATTGCAAGCCCGAAATTAAGGTGTTAGTAACTCTTACTTTCATTAATGTCTGATTCCCGTTTAATTTTTCTATGATTCCTTTTTAGTTTTTTTTTTTTTTTAAATTATGAATCAGTTTTATTCTTCTTAAGAATACATTCCTTAATTGAAGAATTTTATCCATTTCTTTCATTGCATTTGTTTATTTTTTACAGAAACTTTCTAAGATTTCAGTCTTCTTGTTTGAGATAGATATCTTTTGAAATATTTCGTTATAACCTTAATGAACATTGAATCAAGTCTATTTAGTGTTGTACGTTTATATCTTTCTTCAATTAAGTCAATACGATTTAATTTATGGTAAAGAAAAAAAATTATTATCTAAGGCAAAAGAATATTGATATTTTTTTGCAAAAAAGTATTATTCGTATGTCCGAAAGAAACTTCGTTCAGTTTCAATAACTTCAGTTTGAATTAGAGGAGAAAAATACGCTTCCCACAAGAAGTTTAAAGAAAATGTCATGAAAAATTTAGCAGCAAAACGTGGAGCTTTTGCTGTTGGTTGAAATATTAAGAATATTTTTAAATAATTGTTGTCTTTAAAAAAATTAATTAAAAATACTGTAGTAAATTTTAGAAAGAATAATAATGTATGTTTAAGATTTAAACTGCTAAAATTTAAAATTAAATTCTCTTCAGAATAATTCAGTTATAATGCCAAAATTAAAACAAGACACTGATCATGAAACATAAAGCACAAACCAGTCTTTAAGAAAATGAAACTTAAAATTTATATTACCTTTGATAGCATGATGTATGTTGAATGTGTACAATTTGCACTATGATGCTTTCTAATGTACAATTCCAAATATTTATATAAATTTAGCAAGGTCATTTTAGTCTGTGATTTACTTGATCAAAACTTAATATCAAAACAAATGTTTTGAACCACGCCTTTCAAAGGTATCCGAATTAGAATGCTAATTGAATCTAAACTGTAATTGATAAAAGTAGAAAAAAACTCGTTCTTAACGCGAGGACCCAATTATGATGTAAATAGAAAAATGAATAAAACATATTCCATAATTAAGTTCATTGACTAATGACGTAAAATGCATGTTTGTTCCTTACGATTATTTTGTTAGAGGAAAAAAAAACCTTAGTTAAATTCAGATTTTGAATTTTAGATTGAATTTTAACTATCATGTTAACAGTAAGACATCCACGGCAGTAATTTTTTTTTTGTTTCGAATAATTTTATGCTAACTTCGGTATTTAAATGCTTGAATTCCAGTAATTTGGGCATTTAAAAAAAAACTTCAGAACAATTAAATTTTTTTAAATTCAAAATACTGTGTATTCAATACATTAATTTTAAATTTTGTCGAATACATTTTCGAACTAGTAAAGTGAATTTTTTATATGTATTCTTTTTTTGAGATTCTTGTCCAGAATTAGTTTGTTGAACCGAATAACTAATACTGAATGAATTAAAAATTTATTTGGTACTTATAAAACAAAAACCATTTTTTTATTAGCTTTAATTTACTTTCTATTAAACTTATTTAAAGTTTAGATATGCATTTTAAATTAATTAAAAATAAAAATATCGTTTGCATTAATATCGAATTTTCAAACCGTCCCAAGTTATGCTTTTAATGAAATGAATAAATATTCCTCTTACAAGTGTAGAATTTGTAATTTTGACAACTGAGATAGAAATTCTGTAATTAAAAGATGAAAGCAACGGTTTAGTTTAAATACATTGAAGTGTAACTGAAAGACGGAGAGACAATAGATGTTACGCTGCGAGTAAGGATGGCAGAGGAATGTTAGTCAAACCTGATTAGGCTCGATTATTTAGACTTGAAATCAGTTAAGCTCGATTAGTTACACCTGAAAATAACTAAGCTCCATTAGTTATGCCTGAAATTAGTTAAGCTCGATTAGTTACACCTGAGATAAGTTAAGCTTGATTAGTTACGCCTGAAATTAGTTAAGCTCTATTAGTTAGATCTGAAATTATATAAGCTCAATAAGTTAGACCTGAAATTAATTAAACTCGATTAGTTAGACCTGACTTTAGTTAAGCTTCATTACACTTGAAATTTGTTAAGCTGGAGTTTTTAGACCTGAATTTAGTTAAGCTCGATTAGTTACAACTGAAATTAGTTAAGTTCTAGAAATTAGACCTGAAATTAGTTAAAATTTAGTTGCACCTGAAATTAGTCAAGCTCGATTAAATGTACTGAAAAATGAGTGAGGTATCATGATAAAAATAACAACTCTAGCTACATTTACCAAATTTTTATACTCATTGTAAAACAATGGTGTTTCCATTGTCCACTTTTTGGTGTTTTCCATAGGGCAAAAAACACTGTATAATTTGGCCGTTTTGACCATACTTTTCTCTCAGTGTACTTTAAGTTTTCTTTATTTCTTAATGTTGCTTTAACGTTTGCATTTTAGAACGTTTCTACAACTTTACATAACATGAAAAATGGATAAATAATAAGATATTTCTATGGTTCCGAAATTTTTTCAAAAAACATGCAGACTTGTTCAATTAATGTTAAATTTAAATTATATCTATGTCTTACACATTTTAATATAAGGCACTAATTTTTGGCCTAATGGATGGTTCATAATAGCTTTTATTGCAGACTACAGGAAAACTCAAAATGGCTATAAATACGTTTTTTACAGACTAGAAACAGAATTTTTATGCCAATTTTATAGGTGACCACGTGATATCACCATGGTTAGATTCTAACCGATCTTGTTTTGTTATTTTAAATGTCTCAATGAAGTCCAAGAACAGTTTTAGAAAAGCTTTATTGGTGTTTTTTTTATCTTTCTATGTTTCTTGAAAACATAGAAATGTAACAGTTATATGCCTTTACTTTCTCTTCTATTTGTATTCACAATATCATGTAAAATTTAGACACAAAATATTTATAGTGAAACAATACGTTAATTAGGATTTACAATCGTGGCATAAATTTTAAAAGCTACAATTACATTAAAAATAAGAAATTTCCTACTACATTTAATCAAATATTCGACACGACATTTTTCTTTTTTTTTTTTCCTTTGCAGCATTTCTTCATTCCGATAAAGCCACTAATTCTGAAAGTGATAGAAAAATTATGCTTTTAAACGTTATACAAGATATTCATCGATATTCCATCCAGCACCATATTCCATATTTATCGCAATATTCACGTGTTCGATTTCTACTACCATCGATGCATATTATCGTCTTCGATATTTATCGGCATTGAAAATTATCATGATTCTATCATTTTAGATATCTTTTGTCGTCAATAGTTAGTACGATGTTATTTTAATTGATATGTAGTTTGTAGTACATAATGTTGTCCTCAAATATATTGTGAGGAAATTTTTTAAATAAGAGCGATTATTGAAAAGCATTAATATTTAACGATACACAGATATATTGCTCAGCTCTAGTTTTTATCATATTTTTCTTATTTTCCAAAATATTAAAATTAAAAATATTTCTTTAAAACTCACTGAATAAATTTACAGATGACACCATTCAGGTCAGTTTCAAAGTTATAGATATCATTCTCAATGACATCTTTCTTTCGAATTTGAATAAAATTTCTTTTCAGATTTTTAATTTAGTTTAGAATACGGCACTGCGAAGTTATTTATAAAAACAGCCAGCCCAAGTTCAACGAATATCAAACAAGGTTAGAATCATTAAATATTAATTATTCATGTGAATGAATTAATTCTGAGCGCGAAGTTAAAATTGTTGTTTTACGGGGTTGTGATTAATTCATTTTTGAAACCCCGTTATACTCTATATTAAACCGGACACGTTAATGATTAATGCATTTACCAAAGACGGATTGGTTTCAAAATATTGAAATATTGGATATTCATTGAAAGATGAAGACAATAATTTTAGAATTGAGATCTTTATGTAAAATTCATGATCAAATCACTTTAGATGCATCATCCGTAAAATCCATTTTTACCTTAAAATATCAAACCCTAATTTTTACAGTAATATACAATATACAACTTATACAATTTTTACAGTAATATTAATGAAAGTGATTCAGTGATTTTAGGGTAAATATTACTGCAAAAATTACGGTATATCAGATTCTTTGTTCCGTAACATATTCCGGTAAAAATGAATTTTATGGTAAAAAGTATTGACAATCTGAGTGCTGGTTTTTATAACCGTAATTTGATCCGGGATTTTTTTAGTGTATGGCAGGGGTGGCGAACCTTTAGGCACCAACGTGCCATTTTTTCTAAAAAAAAACGCTTTATGAGATCATGGACGTGCCGTCAAATTATTTTGACTTCGTGATTTTTGGGAAAATAATGATACAAAATAGTATCAACTCAAAACTATTTATTTACTATGAAAAAAAAAACATTTTGCAATGTCTCAGTTATACGCGTAGTTCAACTTAAGTAACATCAGTGTGACTTCTGTTGATGCAGATAAGACGATAAATAACTTATATTAGGTTGTAAGACGCTAGTTTAAGCAGGACTGTTAATTATTTTTTTTGCTAGTCACTTATTGTTAGCTTGTTTTCAATGGTACGCGTGCCATTGATTAGCCATCCCTGGTGTATGGGTTTATACAGTGAATGCGGTTAGCAGAGAGGGGGGTGATAGAGGCAGCTACCTCAGATCAAAGAGGTATCCCATCTTCGACTAAGAATTCTAAAAAATTTAATTTATTAGTTTCGTTTCTGTTATGATTCTAAATTTTAAATATTTGTTCTGAGAGAAATATTTTATATAGAATAAAATAGGAATTTTAGAGATATTTTAAAATGAAGATTTAGGCCGTATTTTTACCTCTAAGATAAATTAATAATATCTTGTTGAAAATAATTTTTTTACCATGCAATAATTTCCGCTACATTTACACAAAATGAATTTAAAATATGATTTTGTTCATTTTTTTTCCTTTCAGTTAAATGGGTTTTTTTCCCTTCCATTTTTCCAGGATATCGAATAAAGGAATTTCTCCCGAATATCCACACACCTGTGAACGCCACTGTCGATTAGTGTACTTAACTTCGCATCTGCTAATTTTGTATCTGCCAATCTGCCATTTTGGCTGACATACCCTCATATAAATGTTTTTGTATTTTTTTTTTGCTTTAAAATTAAATAGACTTATTTTAATTATACTGTAGATAATTTAAGCTGCTATGTAATGCTACGGGACTTGCATAGCGTTTCGCTTTTTTTACAGACGCTATGCTATGGTAACTATGGTAAGACGTTGCTATGGTAACTAATAAAGCTTATACAGTGGTTGTTGTTGATCAGTCGTTTCAACTACTATTATGGTGAAAACTTTGCTAACCAGTATTTCGACTGTAGACTATGGTCCATGCATGGGTTATTTAATTATCGATTATCGTCAGTGTTTACAGTTCAACAGTTTCAAGAATATACCGAGAATATCGTCAGTCTTTGACTGGTGATATCGGAGAAACTACAAATAATAGCCAGCTTTGCAAAAATTTAATGTGAGACAGCTCATCCGTTTTGCATAAAGCCAGGGGTATCAAACTGTAACTCAAATTACCAGCTTCTAATACTGATTAACAACAACCACAATGCAAGTTATATATGCAGTTTTATTTATACGCTCATGTGAGCGTATAAATAATCAATGAAAGCAGCTAGTAGAGTGCAGACACGTGACAGAGAGGGCAAATATCCCAGGTATTATCTAAAAAGTATCATCGAATCGATTACAAAGTACATTAAAAAATAAAGCCATATTAATTTGAAACTGGTTTTAAACTTAAATTTGGGGTGTATTGCATATTTTTGGAATATGCCCATATATGTACTGAAAAGCGTGTGCAAAATTTAAAATAAAGGCCTTATTTAGTCCAAATGTATATATAAAGATTTTCAAAATTATCTGATTTTCAAATTAATAATGGTCTTAAAATTTTATGAATGTTAATAATAATCTTAAAATTTAATATTAAGACCATTTTCAAATTAATAATAGTCTTAAAATTAATGTGAATTTTCATTATTTTTATAATGGGAATTCGCATTTTTTTTTTTATCTCAAAGATCCAAGAAAACTGAGTTGGAATTCAAAATAATTCTTGCATGCATAACTGAATTGAAAATTAAAAAATATATATCGTTTAATTTTCTTTTTTTTTCTTTTTAAAACTTTATGTTTTCTTTACTCCCTTTTCTAAGATTATTACTTGTTTAGATTAGACAATTAATATAAAGGTATGTTTATCCAGAGAGAGTACTTACTTGCGTCTGATTTTGTAACCTAAAATATTTTATATAATTATAAAATATTATTTGTAACTTAAAATTTCTGCACTAGTTAATTAGCATATTTGAGATATCCCCTCGAACCATTAAGATTAAGTCCTAGAACGAGAAGATCAGATTATTAGATCTAAAACTATTCAGGGTGTTTCGTTTTTATTTTTGGCGCAATGTGTACATAATAGCAGAGAGGGTTAATCTGTCAGCCTCATGACAGTCAGAACTGGTGGTCGAGTTCCAGTGTTGACACCACATGATTTCCTCTATTTCTTACAACACCTAAAAGGTTTCCAGTGTACGACACTCTCCGATGCCCATTACCTATTAAAAATTCTAGCTACTACGTCCAGTTAAATTTCTTATTTACGGCTTTGAAACTATACTAGTGGTAAAGGATTTCAAAACCTTAAAAGCAAAAAATATTCTTAACCCTAAACTTTACGGTTATTCGGATGGACAAACTGCTGCAAGTTTTTTTTTTACCATAATTTTAGAATTAAAAAGTGTTAGAACATTTAAGTTTATACGAAATGCAATAATTTTTTATCATGGAAGACTAACTTGTTGTTGAATTGTAATTTTTAATTGTCATTATTTTCTTAAAGCTAAAAAATAAAATTATCAAACTTTAAGCAACATATGAATTCTACATTATTAGTATTAAGTTTAATTTCCATTTTTATTTACCTAGATCAGACTTTTAAACTTGAAGAAAAATTTGAGCATTGGTAGTCGTACACTCAAAATTGGGTCAGCTGTTCAACGGCAGTTATAAAATAAAATAAAATAATTTGTGGAATTATGAATATTACTTTATTTCACTCTTGTTCCTTAAAGCTTTTTTCTTGTTTGACATGAATCTTGTAGTGTTTACAGTATTTAGTGAAATGTTTATAAAAATGGTTTGCATTATTAATATCAGCAGTTCTTTTAATTATTTAAAATTTTGTATTTTTGGAAAATCACTCAAGGTAAAAAATGCAAAACTGGCCAGAGGGGTGTAACATAATTTCTCAATTTTCCCCTATACACATTGTACTGTATAAAGGTGTGATATTTTGACATTTTTACATACAGTAAGCTTTACATACTGTAAACTTTGCATACTAGAAACTTTTTAAGTAACATATCAATTCCATTTTAATTATACATAAAAACAAAAATTTTATTCATAAAATAAAATAAATAGTTCCTTGTATCATAAATATGTAAATATTTATTTCATTTTTAATTTTCTCTTCTACGTTATGAATTAAGGAAACATAGTAAATAAATAAAAAGACAGTAATAATATGCATAATTTTTTATTCAGCTAATTTTTTAAGGACATCACAACAATAAATAATATATATATTTGGTTGAACACAAAATCTTATCACAAGACCACTTTTAAACTCCAATAACCAATATATCGAATCTACAGATCACTACAACATTATTAGCAGCGTTTTTCCTCTGAGAAATTGAAGACACACAGATTCAATGTGGCATTGTTGTCTGTAACTGGTTCAAGCATTCTAAAAGAGAAATATTTATTAGATATATTATAGCACAAATAAGATTTCTAAAAAATATGTAACTCTTTTCTTGCATTAAATTTCTTAAATATGGCTAAGAATCAAATTTTTTAAATTATGAAAATGAAATTAAAATTTTAAAATATAAATTTGATTTAAGACACTAACAACTGAATATTTTTATGCAGTTGAAATTATGTTTCAAATGACTATAAAATTCCTATAATTAGTCGTTCTTTTTCAGAATATCCTCTGGGATTTTTACCTGTTGGTAACATACCCAGGTTATATTTAACAATGTTTTTTAAAAATATAGTAATGAATATAAATATGTCAGAAGTTTTCTTAACAGTGATAGTAATATTTCTAAACAATTTTATATTACAGTATATAAAATGACTTTATTTATTATTTGATTATTTTAATAAACACTTTTTTTATCTAATATGAAACATTGTATACAAAATAATATATTTCAAAAACAAACATCTTTAAAGCCTTCAGTTTTTGTTGTTTTTTAATAAAATTCCTGATAAAAATGGTTTAAGTAAAGCGAACTAATCTACAACCAACCTTTAAAATTCTAAGTTAAGTTTTTAATAATGTGCTCCATGTCCTAGAGCAACTCCGTGTCCGAGACCAACACCATGTCCAAGACCAACACCATATCCAAGACCAGCTCCATGTCCGAGACCAACTCCATGTCCGAGACCAACGCCATGTCCGAGACCTACTCCATGTCCGAGACCAGCACCATATCCAAGACCAGCACCATATCCAAGACCAGCACCATATCCAAGGCCTGCACCATATCCAAGACCTGCTCCATGTCCAAGACCAGCACCATATCCAAGACCAGCTCCATGTCCAAGACCAGCACCATATCCAAGACCTGCTCCATATCCAAGACCAGCACCATATCCAAGACCATGAGCAGGAGCTACGGCAGCAACATGTCCAACTACGGCAGGTGCAGCGTGAGCAATATCAGCAGGAGCTGCGTATGGACTGGCAATGACGGCAGCGGCTGGAGCACTGTGAGCGGTACCAGGTTCGTTGGTCTTGACAACAGCTCTGAATCCATGTCCATCAGCAACGTATTCAACCTTTCTTGCTCGTCCATCGATGTCAGCGAGAGTGTATGATCCCTTCTTGTTTCCATGAGCATCTCCTACTTCAGATCTGGAGTTGGTGGCTCCTTTGCCGTCCTTGATATCATATGCAAATCCATAGTTTCCATGTCCCTAAAGGTACACAAAATTATATTTAGTTACTTAAAGCCAAAATCTCATATAGTTAAAAAAGTAAAGGCCGTATAAAGTTTTGAAATTACATTACATAAAGTTACATTTTGATCCGCCTCTCTGGTTTCTGAGCACGTTGTGGTCTAATGTAACTATAAAACATTAACTTCTTCGATAACACTGTGAAAAAATCCAGATCAAATACCGGTATAAAGTACCGGTACTTTGGGTGAATCATCCGTAAATCCACCTTACCGTAAAATCCATTTTGACCGCGAAATATTGTACAGTAATTTTTATAGTAATACTTTTCAATTGGAATGATTTAGTGATTTTACAGTAATTGTGAAAAAATTGCGTAGGGTATTTTTCGCTTCGTACATGTTCCGGTAAAAATGGATTTTATCGAATAAAAGTACCGTCACACTGAGTGCCGGTACTTTTTTCAGCAATTTGATTCCGAAATTTTTTACAGTGTATACTTATTGATTTAAAAACTGTTTTACAGTATTCTTTTATTTGATTAAAAGATAATTTGCAATCTTTTATTGAAAGATAATTTGAAAGCAGATTCTTTTTGTCTTATTAACCAGAAGCTAACTTTTTTTTTCAAATTCTCTAAAGTATGACCTAATCTATTTATCCCTAAACTGTTTTAGTTAAATGTTATGATCTAATATACTTACATCTTGAGATTGAGTACGTGCACTAACACCTGTGTTGACTAAGTGTCCATGTCCCAGAATAACATTAGCGTGGACTACGGCGAGAGCAGCGAAGAGGATAGCTACCTATAGCAAAGGAAAAAAAACCAATTAACAAAATTCAAGTTCGAAAAGTCATTTCAAATATACAATAATAATTTTTGTTCCGTCAAAATTTATTAATTTCTCTTTATAGGAGACTCTTTTAAGTACGAAAACTTTTTACACGATCGCAAAATTTTTTACAATACGCACATGTTTATTATTTATAGTACAGTATAACTGTATAATATGAGCCTTCTTCCTTTAAAAAAAATTAAATTGCGAGAAAAACAGCCTCTTGTAATTTTGTAGTAATTATAGTTTCGTCTCATTGATTGAAATATGACGTTTTTATAATGTCATACGTCATACAAATACGTCAAATATACGTCATGCAAATTCCATGTTGGTACTTAAGATACGGCTTAAAGATAATGTTATAATATAATGCTGAGAAAATTTAATTTACAAGAATTTAGACTTCTTGGAAAAAAAAAGATGTTATTTAGCAAGATTTGCTACTAGACAACATAAATATTAAAAAAAGAGAAAATGCAAAAATTTATTTACAATTCAATGTTTTTGCTCTCCGCAAAATTTAAAATACCAATATCATAAATTAAAATAGCAAATTTTGTAATTTCATCTCTATATTTTCTGACTTGTTCATATTAAATCAGTTTATATTTTTATTTCAGTTACTTCTGCTTTAAAAAAACATATTTCTTTTTTCTGAAAAATATTTATGAGTGTTTTAAGTTTTCTAGTAAAAAATCAATACTATTTCTTCGAAATAAATTCTTACGCATTTCAAGAGTACTTTTAAGTACATTCAATAAATTTAAGTATTTTTTGTATTTTAAGTATTTTTTGTATTTAAGTACTTTATAAAAATATTAAATATATTCGAATATTATGTAGACGAGTATTAAGTAATTGATTTGAAAAAAATACTCTTATGAGAGATCTTTTACTTCCATTTTAACTTAAAAAATGAACTTGAAAAGTTGAAGTTGAAAAAATTTTCTTTAAAAAGTAATTCTTGTTGCTGTCATAATACTTACTTACAATTAATTTTTATACAATTTAGATAATAAATCAAAAGTATATTATCGAGGGACTTTTTAAACTAAAAAATAATAAGGTGGTTTAAGATATGCTTAATTCAGTATCACAAAATATTTGAATTTATGAACTACAAAAACTAATAATTAATCGACATGCATTTATTTGCTATAAAGTTATTTATATTTACGATTTAATTACTCTAAAACTAGGTACGCTATTTATTTAATGAGCAAAAATGTATAATTATTGCATTTTAAATTTTAAACATCCGTTGTTGTTATGAGGTTTCACAAAAAATTTATCGAACTAAATGACTGATTACTTGTAAAATAATTATTAAAATAAACAAATAAATAATTTGATAAACTATTCTTTTAAACACAGAAAATTAAATATTTGAATTTTCTTAAAATAAACAAACTGAGTTATACATTTTATCAATAACTATAACACAATATAATTATACACAAATAATAGTGCTCGTCAAGTAAATAAAACTTTGCAACGTTAATACCGGTTTAGAACATTGAGCATTGATATCAAGATTTCGTAGCCTTGTTGTTTATACACTTTGAACTTTACTAGATTATGTTTAAATAAATTGATTAATTACAGAAAAACAGAATAATAATTAATAATTTACAGAAAAAGTTATGAAAAGTTAAAAGACAAAAAACACACTTCAGAAAAATATAAACCGGTTGAAGGAAAAATATTTATTCGTAAATATTTTATTACATTACTAGTTTATTCTTAGAAATGAAACTGAAGAGGGTCATTTCACGTATTTCAATAAAAAATGTGAAATCTCAATTAAGGTCAGATTTAAACAACTATCAAACAATTTTTATATTTATTCAAGATGAATTAAAATTATTTTTATGACTTTTCTAAAACTCATGGCGAACTCATTTCTAAAACTCAACTATATATATATTAATTTGTCATACGAATCACTTTATTATACTTGCGGAAAAGTTAAACCTGGAAAAATTAACTGCTTCACGAAATTTATTCCTATTCTAAATATTTTTCAGTATTAAGTAATAAGTATTGATTTCATATTTAAAAATTATATTAGTTTTTGTACTCAAATGTTTAGTTTTAATGCCAACATTATTGAAATTCTGAAGTACGGTATGAAATATTTGAAAGTTTCTTTAATGGCATCGCGCTTATGACTTTTCTTTAAGTTGTAAAATAACTAATATTAAAACAGTATGCGATAGTACTTTTAATTAAAACAATTTTAGAATATTCCTATTTTATGAAATAAATTCTCACAAATGAAATTTAATTCATTTATTTGTCAGTAGATTCCTAAAAAGATAATCGAAACAGATATTTCTAAATTAAATTTCATGATGGCGTTCCTTTTTTAAAATTTACTATGCAAATTACTTTTTTACAGCTGAGAATCGGTTGAACCATGTTTTAAGTTTTAAATTATATAAACCTAACGCATTTCATTCTATATTTTAATTGTTTTATTAAACATCTTGATTGCGATTTTTTTTATTTGTGAATTAATTTATTTTTAATTATTTAGTTTTAGTCATACACTGCTAAAAAACGTGGAAAATCTTTAACGAGTATTTGCTGCAAAGTTTCTTATTGAACCAAAATTTGATTAAATGAAAGATTATTTTATTTTGGTTACACCAAAAATTGGTAAGTATGATCGAGAAAGTCCTCCATGGTGCTACTGACTGCACCAAAATTTCTAAAAAGACACGAACTTTGACGGGGACCGTTAACTGAACAATATTAGTTTACTGTGCTATATTGTCTTTACGCAGAGGTCTATATGAATCGAAAAGGGTTAATGTACATTGTTACAAGTATCAACTTGTTTATATAGGTTATTTTATGTTGCCTGTTTAAGTTAAGTCGTTGGTATGTCATGAATTAACTTTTTCCCCCAGTATTTTGGTAATAATTAATTTATGGTGAACCTTGTCTTGTATTTAGAGGCATTAAAAATATCTAATAATAGTAAAACCTTCCTCTGCTTTTAGATGCCTTCAAAACACCTATTTTTGGTGCAACCTCCGCCTGAAATTTGGAGCAAGTGAAAACACAAAAATAAAGCAAAATTGAGCTACATTTTACGTAGTCAGTAAATGTAAACCAATTTTCGGTGCAACGTAGCTCAAAATGTTTAACTGTGAAGTATTTTTAATTAGAATGTTATAAAAATATTCTTATTATATGAAATGTATTCTCATAAATATTCTTACTCAAGAAACGAATTCTTAAAAAATTATGCAAAGTATTAAGTAAGAAGTTAAATTTCTAAGTTAAATTAAATGTTAAGCGTTTATTTTTTTTCAACAATTTAGATTATTTTACGATAAAAAAAAAGTTAAATCGTAAAAAATCAAATATATATTTACCTTAGTCAGCATGGTTGAAGTTTTAACAGTCACAAAAAGCTACTGAGATAGCCAATCTACATTTTCCAGAGTATTTATACAAATTGAGCAAGGACATATCTCCGAACGGTATGTACCATACCGGTTTCCACAAACCACATAAAAATTTAAAGGAAAGATAGAAATAATGAGAAACCCACCACGCCCAGTCAAGTGGGAAAAAATCAAGGAGCTTATTGTTTATTGATTCGAATAATAAGAAAGAATTTTTCTCAAGAGCGAAAGAATATATTTTTTTCCTCAAAAAGTTTGAAATATGTAAATTATTAATCAAGTAAGAAATAGGCTATGGCTCTGATCGGTATCTGGAATGACGCTTAGAATCTACGCGACATAACCTTCGCCTACATTTTGTGATATGTGTGATATAATTCCATCTATTACTGTCATTAAGTGATAAATAATCGTACTCAGACAATGACATTGTCTATACACTCATGTAGTTTTAATTGAGATAAGTTTGTATTTTAAAACTACCGTATAATCATTTTTTTTTTTTCGTTGTTTTATTAAATCAACTTTTGTTAACTATATTTTATGTGACCTAAACATAATATTTTGTGTCTGGGTTTAAATTTATCAGGCAAGAAAAATGTAATTTTTTACTTATTTATTCACTTATTTATTTATTTTTTGCAAAATTCATTTGATGGAGATTGAAATAAAAAAATTCACTTTCCTGTACTATATTTGTTTTAAAAATGTTATGTTAAAAGGCATAAGTTCAACGTATTACCTTAATATTCACACTTAGTACCGTACCTTAAAACATAACTAAGAGAACAATTTCTTTGTACAAAGTGCTAAATTGAATCACGCTTGCACTTAAAGAGTAAAACTGAAAAATAAAAAATGAGAAAAATGAAAAAAAATCTAAGAAAAAAACTGTTCTATACCCCTACTTTTTAAAAAAGAAAAAATCAGTTAACGTATAACCTTAATGATCACACTTATGTATCGTACTTTAAACCATAATTCTGAGAAAATTTTCTTTTTATAAGGTGTGAAATTGTATCACTATTACACTTACAGGGTCATTCATTAACAATGTCACAGTTTTTTTTTTCTCAAGATTTTTGACCTCTCTCTTCCTCTTTCACAATTGTCACAAATTGTTACAATTCATCCTACACCCTTATCAATTGTCACGCTATATTACATAAAGATTACATAAAGCTATATTACATAAAACAGTTTAGGCACAAAATATATCTCATAGACCGTATCGAATTTTTTTTTAAACTATGTGCTTTAATGACATTTATCAGCATTACATAATAATAATTGCATGCGTACTTATTTCGAAAATAATTATTTGGAAGAAAAAAAATGAAAATAATCTAAAAATATTTAATTCATATTATATAATTTCGTAATTAATATAATTTCATGAGTAATTTAATTTCACAAATAATATAATTGCTATAATGTTTGAGTTTAAATAATTTTAACTAAAGAGCGTGTTGTCACACTTATCGTGGCCCCTCCCTCTCCCTTGTCACAAACTGTCACAATTTCATCAATTTACCGTTTTCTTTTTTCTTTTAGAAGGAACCTGTTGATCAAAGAGCATAAGTAATAGGACAGGGGTGGCGAACCTTTATACATCAACGTGCCATTTTTCTAAAAAAAATTTTTAATGAGGTCGTAGACGTGCCGTCAAATAATTTTGACTTCGTGATTTTAGGGAAAATAATAATACTAAACACTATCAGCTCAAAACTCTTTATTTACATTGAAATAAAATACATTTTGCAATGTCTCAGTTATACGCATAATTCAACTTAAAGTAACATCAGTGTGACTTCTGTTGTTGCAGATTAGATGACAAATAACTTATATTAAATTGTAAGATGTTAGTTTAAGCAGGACTCTTAAATTATTTTTGCTAGTTATTTATTGTTGGCTTGTTTTTTATGGTTATTAATTGTTTTTTTAGCATTAATTGTTAATTTTTTTTATTAATAATTGCTTATTATTTTGTTTGTTTTTCGTGAATTTTAATTTAATTGTTACATATGCTTCAATTGTGATAGGTGACGTGCCCAAAATATTGTGTCGAGTGCCATAAATGGCACGCGTGCCATTGGTTCGCCATCCCTGTAATAGGATATCAAGGGTTTATACTACACTGTTAAAATTTTCCTCCTAAAATTACGGTAAAATAACTGGCAGCTGTCTGTCCATCCGATTAACCATAAAGTTTACGGAAAAGAAATTTTTTTTCCTTTATGGTATTATAACCATTTACAAAAATATCGTTATAAAACCATGAATACAAAACTATACGGTTTTTTAACCATTTACAACTAGCATTTTTTAAAAACGTAATAATTTTTTAACTAGACATAGAAGCTCGGCTTTTCGTAAGTTAATGGTCATTGGAGAGTGCCGGACACTGGGAATTCTTCAAGTGTTGAACGGAATGGAGAAAATATTGTAGTGTCAACACTAGGACTCGAACTCCAGTTCATGAGATTGACAGATGAGCCCGCTCGGCTATGACATGTACGCAGTAGCGACGAATTAAGTAGCTTCATTAGGTGGTTCTAGTTGGTGCGATAAAATTCCGATTGTTAAACCGTATTAGGTGAAAGCAGTTAATATGGTAAAATAGCCATGCAATCAATTGTTATTTAACCATTTCTTCCGAGAAATTTCTAACAGTGTACCCCAATTATCATTGCATCTTTATTTTATCACAAAACAAACATAATAATCAAACATCTTAATATCTACTTGTTGCTTCTTATTTCTTGAACCCGTGATATTTCAGGAAAGCATTCAAAAGTAATGCACCAAAAAGTTTTAAATATATCCATCTCGATAAGTAGTATATCAATCCGGAATTTTATTATTCCTTATTTTACACTGCTGTACCCGATTATTTCTTGTGTAACTTTTTTTCTAATGGCAGACACTTAACTTGCGTTCTTCGACTCGGAAGATGTCAGAAGTGTTGTTTATTTAACGTTACCGAGTGGGCACCTGCAATTCTTATTTAACGTGGAGAGCAATATTATACCACACCACGCTACTACAGATACTCGTTCATAGGATGGGACAAATTCCCACATCATACAACAGAGAACAACACACAGTGAGAAACATCCATGCCCTAAGCGGGATTCAAACCCGCAATCATTGGTTTCGTTGTCAGGTATGCTAACCGCTTAGCCACCTTTTTTTAAATGGAGATAGTTTATTCCACTGAGGTGAACCGTGTTCGAATCCCAGTGATGACTAGTTGATAGGAATTCCCCACCTGTGCGCTGACGTAAAACGTCCTCAGTAGACGGATCATGCTGTCAGGCTAACCGCTTGGATGTTTTCGTGGTTTTTCTCTCCATGTAACGCAAATGCGAGTTAGCTCCATCCAAAAGTCTTCCACGATGGCAAATCTCTCCCCATACTTTATCCAGGAGTTTCTTTGTCGTCTTCTGGATTGGGTTCGAAATTATAAGGCTACGGAGTTGGACATCAATAGTCGTAAATCCAAAATTGGGTCGGCTGATCAGCCACGGTTATAAAGTATAAAATAAAACACGATGCAAACATTATCTAAATATATGTATTTTGTACTTTTCGCTCAACTGCTTATGCTCTTTGTGAATACACATGGTTTGCGTTCTGTGATAAAATATTTTTTTAATATTGTGTACATAATAGAGTCAGAGTTACATGGGCATATGAAGTACATATAGTGCACAATGCGCCAAAAAAAAAGAAAAAAAAACCGGACACCCTGAATAATTTTTGATTTAATGATTGTATTTTCACATTCTAGGTTCCAGGGGGTGACCTCAAATATGCTAATTAATAAGTGCAGAGGTTATTTTAAGTTGTGAAATTAGACGCAAGAACGTACTTCCTCTGAATAAATATAAATACCTTTTTTTTCACTGTTTCGGATTTCTGACCCCTAAAATATAGGGGATAACCTCAATCTGGAAAATATGGTCCCCATCGTTTGGTTTGGAGAGCGATCAGAAATTTATACCCCTTAATCTGAATTCTTCGTTTTGAGTATTTCACCATATTTCAAGAAATGTCTAAACAAAATTAAATATTTTTGCATGGAACTATAAAACTTGTTTGTCCTTGCAAAAAATAAATTTTAGTAAACATTTAATAATAGTAAAAAGCAATAATGAATTGCAAGGCGTACAATTTTTTACATCATTTTAAAGTATATAATTTTAGATGGCAAAATTCCTAACCAAACTATTAGGACCATATTTCTCAAATTGTGCCTACCTGTATTTTGGAGGCCAGAAATCCGAATATGTCAAAAAATGTATGTTTATTCAGAGAAAGTACGCTTATGAGTATAATTTCGCAACTTGAAATATCGTCTGCACTTATTAATTAGCATACTTGAGGTCACCCCCTCGAATCAATAAGATTGTGTCCTAAAATGAGAAAATCTGATCTCTAGATCAAAAGTTATTCAGGGTTGTCAGTTACTTTTGCACACTGTATACATCGGGACACTGTTTTAAGTGAAAATTCTAATTCCACTACGCAGTGGTATCTATGACCTCTCCTTTCCGGAATTCTTTTTAATTCCTCTACTCTCTTTTGTTATTATGTCAGACATACATTCTTTTTTAACTTGTTTGTAATATCCGAAGTCTTCACTTTCAGTTTAGCGAAGTATAGCCGAATCAGGCTCTCTTGTATTTATGTAATTTTTTTTCAATTATCAGAAATTCATTTTAATTTTTTAAATTAAATAAAATCGGTGATTGTAAACATTGTTTGGATCTCAAAGCACTGTTAATCTGATTTATTTTTTATTTATTTTTACCCATTGGCAAAATGGGTCTTGTTTTGCGTTTGATGGCGTGATCAACTTATTTGGTTGTCACCACATTTTTCAACTGTGTTCAAGTGTATGAGTAAACAGTGCGCATGCGTCGTCATTGCATGCGTTGCTACGGCGACCGCAGCTGTCTTTCTTTTTATTTTCACTAGCAGGTATTTTTAATGTATTTACATAATAATAATTTAAAATATTTTTATATTCTTTTTATTATTAACTTATAATTACTGGCTTGATGGTGATTCCAATATAAATATGAATACTGAAGAAGGAAAAGTATTTTGTGACGTCTTGAAACACGTACTAAGGCAAGATTTGAAAACCAATCCGACGACAAACATCAATTGAGGCAGTTTTTGCAACCCATGATTTTAAGGCAATCACAACTTTTTTTCAAATTTATTTTAACATGCATAAATTTTTTTAAAAATTTTATTGCATATTTTTCTTGAACGAAAAAAAAAATCTCTCTTTTTAAAAAGCTGAGCAGTTAAATTTTAAAAAATATGAAGAATAGAAAGCAAAATGTTTGGGAAATGGAATTGAAGTTAAAAAAAGTACATGGTTCTTTCAATTTCAAAAACAATTGAATTTAAATTAGGTAAGCAATTCGGAGACAATAATAAAGCAAAGATATTTTTCGTAATGTTTCTGCGTGTCAATTTTATGTTTGCATTCCCCACATATTTGTTTAGTGTTAAAAAATAATAATAATAAATTATCTAATCAATATCCAAATTCCAACACTTCTCCTTTCTTTTAAAATAAGAAATATTTGTTTTGTTCTTATTTTATTTTAAATATAGTTTAGGTTTCTATTTCATTTAATGAAAACATAATAATGAGAAATATTTTGATATGACCTCACCTAACTGCTTATTCGCAGACTTTCTGTCTTCCGTCTTCTTTGACCTTATTAACATTCCAAACAGAGGAGGCCGTTAAACTTTCTCTTTCTTTCGGTTGAGTGGTATTTTGCGAACGACCTTCGAAGAAAACTGAGTTTTCTGATGACCTTCATCATGAAACAAGTAAACTAATGGATTTGCATTAGTTTTCTTAAAATTGTTTACGAATTAATCATTTCTTTTAATTGTTTCATTTTATTAGAGAGCGCTGTGATGTTTTGATATAACATTGTTGTTTTGATATAAAAATAATTTAAAGTGATGTAATAGTTGACATTAATAGATAATATTATCTTAGCGATAAATTAGAAGTTGAAAGAAAGAAGTTCTAAAAATTCTGTTTGTAGTTATTTCTATTGAATTTTTTGGAGTTTCTAAATTTGATTCCGTGTTAAAAACATTTTTTCGATTCGTTTGGTTTGTTTATTTTTTTTGATTGGATTGAATGTATATTTTTTCAATCAAGATTGGTAGAATTTTAGAATTTTTTTTTTCTTTTGCCTTTAAGGTATAGATACATAAAAATATTAAAACTACCCAATTACGAAGCTTATAGTAACGAAGTTCACTTACAAAGCACATGGTAATTTATTTGTAGTTCAAATAGATACAAATTTTTTTTTTTTTTTTTTTTGAAGAAAAATCTGATTTTTGATTTAACTTTTATAGTCGCCGTGCACCCGAAGAAAAACATTGTTACTAAAAAATAAATAAATTAACTATTCATTAAATACAGTAAACTCGTTACAATTTTAATAGTGTCTAATCACGGCTTTACACAAAAAAAAATTTTTAGAGACATCCAAAAGTAGAAAATCTGAAGTACGATTTTTTTTAAACTCAAGGTAAGAAACTCAAACAGTTTTAATAAACTGAATCTGATAAGAAAAAATAAAAAAGAAACGAGAATAATTAAGGAATACTATCAGTACATCCCTGGGATCGCTTAACAATTGTAACTTGTAGAAAATAAACTCTGAAGATTTTCACTTTGGATAAATATTTTATCTATAAGCGCACATTTTCTCGATACGTGTACATTTTTTTTAAAGATTTTTTGAACACATCCCCACAAAGATGTCACCTGCAAATGATACATACTTAGAGGGGGAGAGAAGGCTTAAGTAACTCAATATATTGGATTCAATATATTTTCAAATATTGGGAAACTGACTGATACTAGAAATATCAATAATTAAATTATTACAATTTTTCAAAATACAGAATTCTATATTTTAAATTTTTCATAATTTAAGACTTTGAAAAAGCACAATAATATTTTTCTTTGGGATTATTTTCTAGAGCAAGTATATATTTTCTGAAATAATTAGACTTTTAAAAAAATGCGAATTAAGCATTTTAAAATTTGTGTTAAAATAACTTGCGACTTACTTAATATTATATTTTGAGCTCGGGGTGATTGCTTTATAACTCAATTCCTGTAACATGCAATTTACGTAAATGAGTTGAGTTACTTAAATTGGCTGTTTAGTTTAAGGTTATAACAGTAAGTTTTTTTAGGTATCTTTTTTTTACCTTTGCACCATATATTAACTCAAACAAAAAAAGAAACTTTTTTTTTCGATTCTTGATGACTACTAAACTTGACCATTTTTTCTTTTCTTAATATTGCCTTAAAGAAGTTGAAGCTGAAGAAAGAAAGATGTACAGAAAAGATATTTAAAATTAAATATTTTACAGTCACTAATGCTTTTCCATCCAAAGAAATTTATTGAACTTTAATCCGATTGAATAATGCTCGAAATGACAAAAAATACAAAACTGTTGTTGGAAAGTTTAGTTTCCCTCCTTAAACGTTGTTTGTAAACTAAATAGAACGTTGCGATTTATATCAAACTTTTTATTAGATAATTCGTAATTATTTTTAACAAACTATTTTGTTGATATATATCTCTTTTATAAGGTAGCAACACCATAATGAGTAATCAAAGTTTTAATTAATAAGGATTGTTGTTCACACCATGAAAATAATCGCTTTTTGACTTAAAATATTTTCCAGTATTTTTTGATAAATTAAAATAGAAAGAAACAAACCAAAATATTATTAAAATAAACTTTTATTTACATCTATGAACGGCACATTACAAATAAATAAGAACCAACGAAACCTTTAAAGCATACAGCATCTTAATTCAATATAATATTTAAAGAAACTCCACCACTCCTACCAATTTTTGGTTCAATTTTGTCGTAGCAAGGCAGCACATTTGGTACACTAACATATAAAAGAAGGCTTTCAGAAATTATGTAGAGAATTTGGTAATTTGCTTTTTTTTGATCATCGAAATGAAAGGTATATTTGGATCACAGCTTCATGTCCTGAAAGTTAAATACATATTATAAGACTGCAGAAAGTTAAATATATATTATAATGCTCACAATTGTTTTCATATACTGTATTTTATATACTTTGTTTTATATTGTTTTTACATAATTTGATGTTTATAAAGTCGGGGTTCCTCAGAAAAAGGTTCAATCATTTTAGGTTCCATAACTGAAAAAACTAGGAACCGAAGCAGAGTATTTATTAATCTTCCTATATAGAATAATTCCCATACATAATAAACGTAATATAATTCCCAACATAATAAATGTAGAATAATTCCCAACATAAAACTCTAAAACAAGGTTCGTAACAAAATTCTTAAATGACAATAAATTTCTTTACAATAAAAAATTTCGACATAGATCTTGACAATAATTTTAGTGAAATCGAAAAAGTTAATATTTAGTTAATTAACAGCAATAACTGCGCTTTTAAATAGAAGAAATTTCCTTCCAGCGAATTTTGAACCAGATAAATTTTATACGCTTTTTTAAGGAGAACTAAAGGTTTCATTTTACTAAGCACAAAACATTTTCTCTCATATATATGGAATGAAAAAATTTAAAGCAAAATACGATTGGGCTTAGAAATATGAAGAAAAAAAACATTAATTTGCTAATTTCAGAATGCTTTTTATTTTATTTTTTTTTTCATAAATATTATACAACCACTCGTGGAGATGGTCTTCATATTTATGAAGATCTAGCAATAATTACATGAAGTATAAAAAGCCAAGGAATTGCCTAATAAAAATGAACTTTGTTCTAAATTTCCCACATGTATTTTGAAAATTATTTTAATTCCAAATTGTTGGAGAAATAATCTTTTTTTGTCTTTTTTTTTCAAAAATATAGAGCTCTGAATTTTGTATCTTATTATAAACACAATTTCTTATAATAAAAGATGTTTTAAAACGCTTTATTGTGCTATGAAAAGTTAAATTTTACTCAAAAAGACGTTATTTTTGTTATAAATACTATAACTTATTATAAACGAATTATCTTACTATAAATGCTAGATATTATAACAAAATCAAATTTCTAAAACTGATTATAAAAATAATTATCTCAACTTACATTAAATAATTTGGTAGAAATCACCAATGTCCATGTCCAAGTCCATGTCCATATCCATAGTGGCCATGTCCTGCAACAGCGTATGGGGCAGCAACTCCATAAGCCAAGGGGGCGGCAGCAGCATGAGCCAAAGGAGCAGCGTATCCCCATGGTGCAGCTACTGCAGCATGTCCTACAACAGCTGCGGCAGGGGCTACGTGGCTAACTACTGGAGCAACAGGGGCAGCATATGGGCTGGCAATGACAGCGGCAGCTGGAGCGCTGGCTGCAGTTCCAGGTTCATTGGTCTTGACAACAGCTCTGAATCCATGTCCATCAGCAACGTATTCAACCTTTCTTGCTCGTCCATCGATGTCGGTGATGGTGTATGAACCTTTCTTGTTGCCATGGCCATCTCCTACTTCAGATCTGGAGTTGGTTGCACCAAGTCCATCCTTGATATCATACCCAAAAGCATAGTTTCCATAGCCCTAGAAAGTTTAAAAATTACTTTTTTATAAAGATTTAGTTGTTATTTTCTCACACGGTAAATGTCATCAAATAAATGTATTTGTAATGTAAATGTCATTAATGTATAAGTATTTGTGTTCAAGCTGAACTACACTGCATAGGAAATTCCGAATCAAACTGCGGTAAAAAATCTCGGCACTCAGGGTGCCGTTACTTTTTACAGTAGAGTCAATTTTTACCGGAACATGTTATGGAACAAAAAAAATCTGATGTAACATGCATTTTACAGTTATAATCATTGTAAAATCAGTGAAACACTCTAATTAAGTAAATATTACTGTAAAAATTAGGATGTAGTATTTTACGGTAAAAGCGGATTTCACTGTAAAATGAATTTTACGGATGTTGCACCCAAAGTGCCGGTACTTTATACTGTAATTTGTGTTGAAATGTTTCACAGTCTATCAAACTTTTGGAGAAAATCTTAATGTCTACTTTTTATAGTGCATTATTTTTAGTGCCAAATTGATTTTTCAATGCAAAAGATTTTGCATATAATTTTCAATAGCTACAGCAAAAATTCAAGTAACCTGAATTACTTAACTTATTAAATTTGAATGTTTATAAGCATAAAACTGAGAGCAATTGTTTTGTCATATTAAAATTGAGTAATTAAAAATCCTAGATATCGAAGATTTAACGACAATTACTGTTTTGTAACGACTGTCATTAGAGAATGCTTTATCAGTGCTTTTTTTTCCTTTAAAAATTTACTTACATCTTGGGTTTGGGCACGAGAGCTGACACCAGTGTTTACAAGATGTCCGTGTCCTCCATGGGCCAAGATACCGGCATGGGCAACAGCAAAAGCAGCCAACAAACAAGCAACCTAAAAAGAAATGCAAATTTTATTTTAGAAAGTGATCTTACCAATATCCTACAAATGAAAAATAATCTCATCTTTTTCAATGCTAAATTTTTAATTTTAGTTAAATAACTGCTTAATATTTTTTTGCCTCTATGGCAATTATATTTTACAAGTTTTTTTTATCTCAAAAGCAGCTGCAAAAAGTTGCATTTTAGAGTAAGGTACAAAAATAGTTGGCTAGTTAATTACATTTAAAATAATCACTTATCTTGGAGAGTTTTATTAATAATAAAAATGTGGAAAAAAATTAAACTTATAAATGACTATTTTTCAAGAAATAAAATGAACACAAAACAAATCAACACAAATTAAAGTTAATATAACCTTAGAAAAGAGTTGAATTTGCTTCTTATCATTGACAAATATATCGTCTCAATTTCCTTAAAAAAATTAAATAACTGAAACAATCTTAGTAGTGCACCACACAACAATAGCTCGTTGATTAAGGAATAAGATCACGAGAAGACGAAGTAATCCAGTTTGTTTTTGTTGCTTTTTAATCCGTTGGCTACTACGATATTTAGATAAGGTGTGTAAATTAAATGTGTGTAGAATGGTTTTATTTTTCTTTCATTCAAGCAAACAAACAACGAATGTTACACATTTCTTCTGACATGCAGTATTAATTTTGAACTTAAAATATTGTATTGAGTCTAAAAGACGTTATGAAGCATGACTGACTATGTTAATTTGAAATGTCAATAAGAATCGTTAGAAAAAAAAGTGAGAGTAATCTTCACCGCCAAATAGTAACTTATTTACGCATTGAATCACTAACATTAATGCATTTCTTAACATCTATGTTATATAAAATATTAATGCATATATAGATTGTTAAAAAACTGTTAAAATTCTTTTTCGCGTTGGCAAAAGAGAAGTTAAATTTCAAACAAGAGAAAGAGCAACCATAAGCATTAAGGTTCAAATGCATCTTACTATATATAAAATTCTAATGATGGTGTCGCAGTTTTCCATCGTTGTCGATGCATTTTTATTGGCCAGAAAATCACGTGGTAGGATCCAGTTTTCCCCCATTCATTTCAATATTGTTTAGGTTGTCATCAGCATAAAATTAACAAAAGTTGTAAAGGTATTGTTTTCCCTTAAATGTTTTTGTATCCCTAATTTAAAGTTATTTTTCAGTACTGCTATTATTAGCGAAAATTTTAAATTACGGTTGAGAACTCATCAAATTTGTTTGATCAATATAATGTATTAAGAATATAAATGTTATTTAAAAAAATTATAATTAAAAAAATCACTTCTGTTCACCAGGAGATCTAAATGTTTATAATACTAATAGATAGTAATATTTTGACGTGGGAAGTAGAGGCGCAAGAGCGTAAGTAAACAGAATTCCTTTTAGTACATAGATATTAAGTGAATATTTTTAACTTTAGTAGAAAAACTGTTTTCTGCCAAGAAAGACAATTATTGCGAAGCAATCATTGGGGTTGGTGAGCGGTAGCGAACAGGGGGCTTTGCCCCCTAGTAGGTTTATAAATTCCTGAACAAAATTTCCTTTCTCTCATGGACAACGAAACGCTTAAGCGAATCGAGCTATAAGTAAGGCATAAATGAAATAAAAGCGAACAACCGATACATAACAAACAGAGAATTCATATATAGCAAACAAACTGAGTTATATTTTGATTTTTATGGTGCTTATTTGTTTATGTAGATTCAATAACAATTTCGTTCTATAATTTAGTTTTACTTCATAAGATGCTTCATAATTTACACAGAAAAAATATGTATTTTTTCAACGAAGATCAACCAGGAAGGTTTTTTAATTTTACATTTCCACCATTTCCTTTGGTTTTCATGCATTTTAAGAGTTAATATTAATATACCAGACTTAAAACTGTTTTTCCAATGCTGAAATTTATAATTTATTTTTGGGAAAATTCTATGAATTATTTCTTTCAAATGCAATTATCTATTTGGTAATTTCATCACGGTACCTTAAAAGCATGGAATAAAAACCATTTTTCGGTTAAATTTTCGTTTCAATTTCGTATTTTTTACTAAACACTTACTAATAAGATCTATAATTTTGAAAACCAGAAATTCCTATAACTAACATATGAACTAAAAAGTAACTAAAGGAATTATTTAAATACCGTATATTTTAGTTTCTTAAACCAGAATTGTATTTTTTTTTTTTTTTTTTTTTTGCTAGAAATATCCTTAATTTATAATCCTTAACAAGTAATATCCTTAGCAAGCAATTTTACCACAAAAATTTTCCGAATAGTATTCTATAAATTGTATGCAAATACTTCAAATTTGATATAAATTAATTTTTAAAAATATGATACTTCAAATTTTACTTATTCAGGAAACTGAAGTAAATTTGCTCGAAAGCTACAGTTTGAGCAAACTTGATTTACTATAAAAGAAAATCCTTACCTTAGCGATCATTGTAGTAAGTTAGTGTTTCTCTGAAACTCAGAAAAGTAGTGATATACCCCCTCACGTTTCGTTCGAGCTTATATAGTAAAACGCAACAAGGACAAGCCTTTCAATTTCATGTTTCACAAAATAATAAAAAAGAGGCAAATACCAAAGATATGTTCGAAATACCCCACCCTTGTTAAGGAAATAAATTCATCGGCATGAACAATACATCTCTTCAACCTTCAACTCTTATGTTTTCCTAAACTAAATAATTGATCTCACGCTTTGTAATGACGCTGTGTTTACATTTTTATTTATTTTTCGCCACATAGCTGTTGGCGAGTCGGGTGATTTAACAGATATGGTGGAACTGGTATTCTGACTACAAAAGAAGTCGTTACCTATCTAATCGTGCGTCGAACACGGAAGCGAAGCTAGAGGAGGTGTTCAATATGATTTTTTTTTTTTAAATATTATTTTGGGTGTGACTTGACCTTAACCTGAATTTTCACCAGTTTCTAGCCAATATTTATGGTTTATAGACATATTAGGTTGATGACAGCAGGTGTTTTTTGTTTGTAAGGGAATTTATTTAGAGAATTTTAAAAAAAATTCTTGTTTGGAACAAGTTTTCTTTATTCTTTTAAAATCGAAATTCGTAGCATTAAATATTCTGGCATGAATGCAAAAATTAAAATATAACCTAAATCTAAGTAATGTGCCTACATCTTAAGATGATGTATAAGCAATTTAAGTCTAACGCGCAGATGAAAATGTGTAAAAAAGAATTTTATATTATCTAAGTATCTAACGTATTTTGATAAAACTATGCATAGAGAAATTGAAATATTATCAAATTCATGGCTTAGATTTAAATGAGGAATTGAAATAGAATAAAAGAGTAAAGTAAATAAATCTTGATAAAGATATTTTAAGTTTAATGGAATGTAAAAGTCATTATTAGTCATGCCTTCATAACAATGTGTATCCTGAAATTGAAATTATAAACCTATCGTTCTTCAGTTCTGTATTTACTTTTAATACTATTTTTGGAAAGATATAAGTTTCAAATATGTATTTCCTAACGTTTGAAGAAACTTGGAGTTTTTCCAAATGTTTCATAACGTTTATTAGTTTTATTTAATCTATACTACAAATTTAGGCATCTTTAAGGCGTTCCATTTTACTCTTCTGACTACTTTCTTCAAAGATATAAGCTAAGTAGATGCAGCATAGATGCAAAGTGATATGTAAATATATGTTAAAAGATATGTTGGATTTTAAATTTATATTTCTTTACTGTACGGAAAAATACATTTGTAAAGTGGTTTGAAAGTTGACATTTTAAAATATAAGAAGGAAACAACTTATTAAAAGGAAAATGCCTTAAGAAAAGTTTTTAATTGTTTTGTTTCTAAAAAAAATATGAAATTAGTGAGGAAGAATTCTATTTTCATACGTTAATAACAAGTATAATCATCATTATTAAGAAAAGCAAATGTTTTCTTTAGAAAGTCCAGCTTTTTTTCTTAAAAATAAATGAACTTAATAAATAATTATCCTTTTTAGGTTTTCAATGCAACTTTTGGGCAAAAACTGTTTTTAATTTTAATTGAAAAAGAACTACTTCGTCTCGAAAAGATATTTTATAAGAATGGGTGCTGTTATTCAATAAAACTATTTAATAATCTAATAAATTTTAAAGACTCAGTAATTCGAAGATATTTATTTCAATTAAATGATTAATTTATCGATTTGTTTAATAATTTCGAGTAAAGACTAAGTTTGCAAACAAATCATCAAAATTTTGCATATTTAGTTTGATAATTAAGTAAATAAATATTTAAATACCACAGCAGAATTGTGAAACAGGTATAACTACTATTCGGTGGAGTTTTGATTGAAATTAATGTGATTCAAAATGTATAGTATAAATTACCTTGTCAATATGTTTGATACAAATCAATTCATTTTCAGGCTTTAAATCAACTTAACCTAAGGAGCTAAATGATTCAGAATAATTTAACAAATTCATTGATTTAGCAATATAATTGTAATTTATCTTACTCTCTTTGAAATTTATCTCCAATTACATGAAATTGAAACTCATTCAATAAATGACAGTCTGCAATTTCAATAAAAACAATTAGTTCTTTACCACTATACAAAGTTTAATTCTACTTCTAGCGATTATTAAATTTAGTGTATGAAAACTAATCGACCGATTTATACACTGGAATAAAAAAAATAAAAATTGTCTGAAATAATAACAAAAAAAAGAAAAAGAAAATTTGTACATAAAACTAAAAATAAATTTTACAAAATACATGAAATCAAATTTTTTATTTAGCTTTTTAACAATTATAAAACCAATACAAATAAATAAATCTTAAAATATTAATTTCTAATTGTTCGAGTTTTAAGAATTACCACAATCCCTTCATTCCAACTCCCATGCCTAATCCCAAACCACTTCCATAGCCCAAACCGGCTCCGTATCCGAGTCCAAGACCAGCATGTCCAATAACTCCTCCGTAAGCTACTGGAGTGGCAGCAAGCATTGGAGCGGCAATACCATGTCCCATCATGGGTGCAACATGAGCGATGGGTGCAGCGTGGGCAATATCAGCAGGAGCTGCGTATGGACTGGCGATGACAGCAGCGGCTGGTGCACTGTAAGCGGTACCAGGTTCGTTGGTCTTGACAACAGCTCTGAATCCATGTCCATCGGCAACGTATTCAACCTTTCTTGCTCGTCCATCGATGTCAGCGAGAGTGTATGATCCCTTCTTGTTTCCATGAGCATCTCCTACTTCAGATCTGGAGTTGGTGGCTCCTTTGCCATCCTTGATGTCATATCCGAAAGCATAGTTTCCATGTCCCTGTTATTTTATGATAAGAAATAAAAAACAATTATCATCAATAACAATGTAAGTGCATTGTCATAAAAATAATTTATGATTCACAAGATTTTTAACTTAACGCATACTTTGCATTGATATAGCATCCCTTTATTTACATACTTTTGTTAAAATCGTTTAATTTCATTCACGGATTTTGATATAGCTTTGTCGATCATATCATCTGTATCTAGACTAACTTATTTTATAAATATCATTTTTTACTTTTTTATATAAAGAATTTAATTACATTAACGAATGCTGAAGTAGTTTAACTAATCCTCTCATTTATTTCTACAGTGGTTTATTTTATTCATATCACTAAGAAACTTGTATTGTTAAAAATTTTCATTTCATTCATATTATTTTGGCCAAATTAATCCATTTTTAAATTCAACATTGCATGTTTCCTTAGTAAAAGCATATATTTGAAAAAATCATTATTATTAACATACTTTAATAAGCTAAATTTTAAAAGTTTACTTTCGCTTAAAAATATAAATCAATTAATCATTAATGATTTTTCGTAAAAATTAGTTTAAACTAATCTACCTTAAGAGTATTTTGTAATACTTATCCTACGTTATGATAAAGGGAAAGATAAAAAAAAAAACATCGTTTCCAAAATTTCATTCAAAAAAGAAAAAACAAACTTCGTAATAATTAATTATTTAATTTTATCTAATTAAGTAATTAAATTTTAAAATAAACTTCAGTTGAAAAAAAATCGCTTAGATAAACTTAACTTTTTAAACTTAAAGTAATATAATTATATAATATAATATATTAGTATTATAAAGTAATATAGTATAAAGTATAATAAAATATTTTTCTAACATATGACGAAGCACGTCTTCTATTGTAATTCAATTTATTTTATGAAGTTAATCATTTCACCACCGAAGACTGATTGACTTCCTAGTTTCTAAGTCAGATTTATTTTGAGCATTTATAAGCAATTTGTCTTGCGTAAACGCTTTTCGTTAACCCGCTATGCAATGTTACGTTATGAAATTAATCAATTACGTTATGGAATTAATCAATTTGTTTTTGAAGATTGACTCATAACCTGGATTCTCAGTTAGATTTATTGTAAGCATTTATAAGTAATTTATTTAATGTAAACGCGAAGCGTTGTAATAGGTATAAAAATCGTACAAAACATATTTACTTACATCTTGCACTTGAGAACGAGAACTTACTCCAGTGTTGATTAAGTGTACTGGAGCCAAAATGCTGGCGTTGGCAACAGCCAAAACGAAGCAAAAAACAGCGATCTGTAAAAATAAAACAAAAGAATAAAGTTTGAATTACATTATGTAACTAATAACAAATTCGATGAAGAAAAAAGTTTGTGTTAAAGACGTAAGAGTTATTTTGTTTTCATTTAACTAAAAACTTTTACGACATTTATCGTATTTGACAGTTTACAGTATAGATTAATTGTTTTATAAAATAATTTATTGAGTTATCTCTCGTTTGGTACGAAACGAACGACGCTGAATTACTTCTGATCTAAAGAAAAGATCTAAAGTTAGTGCAGACCATATTTTAAGTTAAAAAATCAGACACAAAAACCTACTTATGCCCAAAAAACCTAACTTTTTTTGACTGATTAACAGTTCTGACCCTCCAAAATACAGGTGGTAGCCACACATCTGGGAAATATGATCCTAATTGTTTGATCAGGAGAGCAGGCCAATATTTGATCACCTTAATGCTAATTTTGCTTTTTGCTTATTTCGCCATATCTCGAGAACTTTTTAGGCGAATTGAAAACTTTTTGCTCGCAATTATAAAATGCGATTATCTATAAATAGTTTCAAGGAGAAAAAAAAAATTTTAAAATTATTTATTATTTCTTACAATTTTATTTCATAATAGCCGTTAAAACTTGTAAGTCATACAAATTTTTACATCATTTTAAAGAATAATTTTATAAGGTGAATTACAAAATTTGAACTTAATCGGTCGATTAGTTCCTGAGAAAAGTAAATTTTAAATATATAACTGTTTTTGATCATCGTTTTACTTATCTGTCTTCACAATACTGTTTTGAATTTTATTAACAAACTGTACACAACTAAATAAACTTATCAAAAATCTGAAAAACTAAAAAATAGCAATATGTTTTACAAAATTTATTTTGATGAATGAAAATTATTAGAAAAAAATTTGACATTGAGTTTTAATTGGAATTATTCTTTAGTAAAATAATTTGTTTAAGAATTTAATTGACAGTATAAAAAAAGTTTTTTTTTCTAGGAAAAAAAGTTTTTTTTAAAGATTCCTTTTTGATATTATTAGTGCTAAGGCAAATATGGCATAAAAAATTGGCAACGTCTTACAGCTTTGCAATTTTTGATTAGCTTACGATTTCCATCAATAATTGACTGACCATCAATAACAATAAGTTTCAATTTATCGAAACAGAAAATTTTGGAAGAGTAACTTAGCTCGCATAATTTTGGAAGAGTAACTTAAGAGAACTTTGCTTTTATTTAAATATCCATTTACTTTTGATAGCTTACGTATATACTTAATTTTTATTCGTATTTAACTAAAAATAAATGATTTTTAAATGAAGGTTTTGCTTATAGAAAAGCTATTTAGCGAATATTTTAAAGTAAAATTTACCTAAGGATTTTGAAAACTCATATAAATAAACTGAAAAAATTGGGATTAGAAATTTAGTTCAAAAATTTTATAGGCTGTTGCATTTTAATTAATAAAAATTCTGAATATAATAGGTAATACTTTAATTTAAATTGATATGGATATTAAGTCATTATTGATTAAAGATAATCAGCTATCTATATTATCAATGCATAATTGTGATATGGTTAATTAAAGAAACTATGGGTTTATAAAATATTTATGAAACAAACTTCAACGAAATCTAATTTAGTTATGTTTATTTACATTAAAATTTACTCTGATTAAAGTAAAGCAATACAATAAGCGTTTACACTAAACCGCTAAAACATAATAAATATTTAGTACCTAATTTTAAAAATTGAAAAAATTTGAAAAGTTTTATTTCAAACTTTTTCCAACTTTAAGGCATTGAAATTATTCATAATATATGTTCATGAAGTTACAAAATTAAGCTTTCTTAGCAGGATTAAGTTCATTATTACATAAATTTAAAGTATGACACTCGGATGCTAATAAATTTATTCTAAATTTCTTAATCAATAGATTCAAAGAGATTGTTACAATAAATAATTTCAGTATTAAAAATAATATTTACTCTGCGAAATAAATAAATAAATAGTTATCTTACTTTAGAGAACATGATTGCTGAAATATCAATCTGATAATAATAACCATAGCTAATCCATCGTCTTTTATACTTATTGAGTGACAAAAATAAATTACCTTTTCACTTCAAAATGTAATTTTTTTTAAAATTTTGAATAATTTAAAATAATAAAAATTATTTGACCAATATGACATTGACAAAATAGATTGTGATTGAATTTAGATCACATTATCCGATACGCCTTTGATTATTTAAATTTGTTTGTGTTATTAGACCTTGATTACATTAAGGTGGTATGTAATTAGTTGATCACCGAGTGATTTATCCTTATATTAAAATAATTATTAAATCTAATTGAGTATTGGTAAATATATTGTTTTAATTAACAAATTTATAGATGCTATTTGTTAGTTGGAGATTCGATTAAAATTTTAAAAATTGCTGCATTTTTATCCTGAAGTTGAAATATAATATCATTTTATGTATAGAAACATTTATGTTTACTGTTTAAAGTTAACGTAATAGTAATGTTATCAATATAGTAAAAAAATATTTCCCAATCTTTTAACCACCGTAATTTTTTAAAACTAAACTAGATTCATCTTTAGTGCAAATTTATTACTCATTTTCAAAAAGTTTAGTTATTAATTCATTAATAGTAAATATAATTATTGTATTTTTAGCAGAGATTACAATGTATTATAAGTAATGTATGATTATTATACTACATAATATTGCATATTTTTAACATTTATATAATCATAAAAGTGAAAATGATATGGTGTAGTCTCCTACAAAACGTTTAACTGACACTTCCGAGTGCACTTGGAATCCGCGAATTTAAAATTATGTAATCATATGCATAATGTTAGCACTTTTTAAAATTATGTAATAATAAAATTAATCCTACTGTGTTTAAAAAAACTCAATTTCGTAACTTTATGAACATATATTATGAATAATTTTAATGAAATAAAGTTGGGACAATTTTCTTCTATTGCCCCGAAACGAAACAAGTTAGTATCTTTATATTTATAGATAACAACTTTTAAAACATTTCTGGTAAAAATAAATTTTCGCATTTCTTATAATAATATAATAATATTTTAACATTTCAGAGATCATATGAAAAATCAACAAATCAAAACCTTTTAAAAATATTTCAATACCTGCTGCCGAAACTTATTATGAACGAAATGAAACGAAAACGTTTTTCAAAATTTTTTTAAATGTCTTTGTACCTATTTTTTGTCACATTCTCTACGTATTATGAACATAATTTCAACAATATGTGCTGTATTGTCATTAAATGAGTTATACTATACAGCACAAATGATTTAAATTTAGTAATTTATTTCAGGAACAATCTTCATATATCTTCATATAATTGCAACGAGTTAAAATATTTTTATGGAGGTAATTTTATCTGCCATCTCAGCCAAAGTACTATAATCAATATTTTCTTTAAATTTTTCTTTTAAGGTTGCTCAGTATTTTTGTCTTTTCCTAGGTCGGTACCAAGTTTTGACATAGACATTATTATATAATACACGTTTTTGACATTATTCGTTCTCCAGCAATCTATGCAATATTACGCTGACGAATTAAATAATTATAGTATCAATAATTATGTAAATAAATATATTAGTATCAACAATTATGTTAATAAAGTTACTCTATCAAATTATTAGCATAAAAATAAATTTGATCTCAAACCAAGATTTAATGTCATTACCAAATTTTCGTCGATGAAAAAGTTTTGGGAAGAAATAAAAAGCAATCATTTTTAAAAGCCTTTTCGTATCCTAGTACAAAAAGGTTTAAGATAAGAAAATTTAAAAAAAAAATTAAAAAATACATAAAACACATTTTTTTAAGGTTCAGCACAGAAAAGTAAGATATAAAATATTGGTGGTAACTTATAAGAATCAATTTGTTAAAGTCTCGGTTAATTTTCCTGATATTATGTTCATTTTATATCAAGTTTATCTTAAAATGTGTTGCAAGAATTTCTTAATAATTTTTTTAAGGAAACAAATAAGAAGTCGGTGATTTATTTGATTCAAAAATCTACTATTCTTCATCTTCTTTTATCGTTGGCTCATTTTATATTATTATTGTTATTCGAAAAACCGATGTTTTCAACTGCTCTCATCGGTTGTTCGCTTGATGTTATGATAGTTATTCGAAATCCGACGATTTTTATGGTTTTTTTCATCGGTGGTTCAGTTGATGGTCAGTTCGAAATCCGACGATTTTAATGCTTTTTTCCATCGGTGGTTCAGTTGATGTAATTAAAGTTATTCGAAAACCGACTATTCTTCATCTTCCTTTATCGTTGGTTCATTTTATATTATTATTGTTATTCGAAAAACCGATGTTTTCTACTGCTGTCATCGGTTGTTTGCTTGATGTTATGATGGTTGTTTGAAATCCGATGATTTTTATGCTTTTTTTCACTGGTGGTTCAGTTGATGTAATTAAAGTTATTCCCAAAACAGACGATTTTTCATCTTCTTTTACCGGTGGTTTACTTGAAGTTATTATGGTAATTCCAAAACTGACGATTTTTCACTTGCTTTGTTTTGGTTAACAAGCATCATTTAATGTTTACCAATTAGATGTATGATAAAGAGTTACTCAATTAAACAATAACGGTTTAAGTAAGAAATTAAATTAGTAAAATAACAGAATCGGAAAAACAAGGAATCATCGCATCAGGTAAGATTCAAATAAGCAAACGAAGTAGTTAATAAGTAAAGCAGTTAAGGAAAAAATAAATAAATTAGCAGAATCAGTTTATCGAAAAAGTAAACAAATCTACAATTGTTGGCACAGTGATCGAGATAAGCTTTTTTTTATTTTTCACATTTTTGAATCTTTTTTTTTTCTTTATTCCTTTGATCTGAAGTCCAAAACAATACCATTATTCAATGTAGAATATCATTAAATTAAAATGTCACTTTTAGAGAAAAACCGGTCGTCTAAGCCATTTCTCCTCAGGCCATGTTTCAACTTACAGCTTCTAACCAGTAAACGAGGCAAGGTCACGTGAGAAAAAACTATTTCCCACACTTTACATAATACGCATAACTTATAAGCTCTTCAGCCTTCAAAACTACTAATCAGTTATGTCGAACGTTACTGATTCTGCTAAGCAAAATGTTTCGTATCATAGCGTACCAGGATAAATAACTATCACTTCCACTTCCAATAATTAGGAAGTAGGAACACCCAATGATGGGTGGGTAAAATTAATAATCTATTTCAAGGACGTTCTGTATGTAGTATTTCGTTTTTTTACTTTGCAGGGAATGAATTTTAAATAGTATATAAAGCTGAGCTGTTTTATTAAAAAAACTATTAGCTCTTGCTTGTTAAGAAACAATTCTCAAAATGATCGCTAAGGTGAGATTAATATTTAATTATTCAAATAATATTCCTTCTAACTTTATTAATTCAGGTAAATTATAGTAAAATGTCACTAATTACTTATTGTATCATTAGAACGAATTAATTTTTAAGCGCATTTAATTATAAACGTAAGAGTAATTTTATTTTAAGAAATCAAACCATAGGTATTATATTTAGCTTTTATATAATTTCAAACTAACAGAATACATGTGGAGTAAATTTTTATACAGAAATTTTTAATTTTACTCAGATTAACAGAAATTTTTGTCATTTAATTTTACTTTGTTTTCTAAAAATTTAGTATTTTAGTTTAATTTTAAAAATGCAAATTATTTCCTTAACACACGTCATACACTAGTTTGAATTCGAGAGAAAAATTAGTTAGAATTTTTAAAAGATACCTTAAACAATGTGAAATGATATCAATTTTTTTTATCCCATTTCAACTTAGATAAATAGATTTTAAGAAACTAAAATTACAGTAATCATTAGAGACAAAAAAAAAAACATTAAAAACTTTAAAATTGGGTGAAATTAGCACTAATACCAGTTAAAAAGTGTATGCAATGTAAATCAATGAATAATAATGTTTCTTAGAAAGATAAAACAATTTGACGATTTAGGAAGATAAAATCTTCAAGGAATTAAATGAAAACATTCATGGGCCATAAGCAAATAAATTGTATTTTTCAGAATTGTTTATGGTCGTAATTTGTAGCTATCTTTCAGTTTATACTTATGACAATTTCTAGGCACCATGCAATAATTTTATGTCAAACAATTAGCTACGAATTTTTAATATAATTGAGATAAACAAAAAAATTATTTTTCAAATATCTTGGTTTTTAAAATATTATATTTTAACCATAAAATCATTTTTAAAGAATAAAATAATCTGAAACAAATGTTTAACTGAATTTCCGTAAATATATGTCTAATTTGTTTTTATATATTTTTATATGATTTTTAATAAGTTATATGTTTCGCCGATGTATTGAGAAAAAACTGAAATTATAAAATAAAATTTTCAAAACATTTCGAAATTAGCTTTAAGTTACATCCATAAATTATATATTAAAATAATATTTTTAAAAATCTTTTTTATTAAGACCATAAACTTAACATAAGTTTATAATTACGCTTGAAACTCCAGGCAATTTTAAAATCTCCTTAAATAACTTTGTTTACCAAAAATAATTAAGAAGCAATAGTAATTTCCAGTCATTTGTAATTACATCTTTTATAAAACTGAGCTATTTTAAACATAATTATCAATACCTTTTGAATTAATTGCTTTTGTTATTTTTTTTTGTCTTCAAGTTTAATAACTGATAAAATCTAAAATCTGAATCTAAGTAAAGGTTTAAATTTCTATCTTACAGTTTTGTATATAAATTTAACATACGAGTATATTAGGAAGATTTCACACTTTCACGTTAGCTCCCGTATGTTCCCGTACGTAGGATAAACGCAACTGCGCATGCTCGCGTTTATTTAAGATGCTACGCATCTTTAGGTTATGTTGGCTTGATTTACGCTATCAAAACAAAGCTACAAGCACCCTGTTTATAACTGTTAAATGTTGTTTTCTGTTTAAACCTTGCTTTGAACTAAAACCATAGACCTGGAATGCGAATTTAGCATCTTAACGATCGGTTAATTTTCAAGAAAACGGTCATAAAAGTGCCTATTTTTTGGCATTTGTATTTGTATTACGTATTTGATTAGTGCTAAAATCTAGTTTAAAATAAATTATCTACAATTACCTTAAAAAATATCCTAGTACTGCCATCTGGTGTGTAGAATGAGAAATAAAATTTTTTCCGGGCAAAAGAAATGAATTAGTTTTATTCTTATTGGCGCGTTACTACTGAACACTCCAGCCCGTCAATATCATGGGAGCGAGAAATAGAGGGCGAAACCTCATCCCGTCATTTTCATGGGAGCGAGAAGGAAGGGGTTAAATTATTGATTATATTTAGAAATAAATCATTAAAACTTACAACCATTAGTTCATTCAATAAAAAAAAAAACAATTTTATTGGTTTTTGATTAAAATTTTGGCTGTCTAATTGCACTAGTTCCATAAGAAACTACATATATTTTCGCTATTTCAAAATTTTAAATTATATTTAACTATACAATTTAATTTAAAGAAGTTAGATAATCAATAGAAGTTTCTTGAATGTAATAATAATAATCCAAAATTAATAATCTACAAAATTTTACTGCTCATACTTCCGCAGTCTTACGAGAAAAGCATCTGAAATCCTATGCCACAGCTTTAATAAAATAGTCTACATCGATTGCAAATGTTTATTTTGGTTTTGTGCTCAAAGTTAAAATGATATTCCACTACGTTAGAGTTTTTAACTAACGGAATTTTTGCAAAACCTCTCATATTTCCTTACGTATGTTTGATATTTTTCACAGGATCATACGCGATTAGTACTTGAATTCTTACAAACGGGAACGTAAGGGAGCTAACGTGAATTTGCGAAATCTCCCTATAAACTAATTTTTTTCTTCATTAGAAAAGTAACTGGGGATTTTTTAATAGCTTCATATTTTATTTCAATTGTTCACAACAGAAATGAAAAGTATCAAAAGTATTTTTTTCCATTATTTGAATAGACTAATTAAAAAAATATTGATGAATTACTTTATAATCTTAGATGCACTGCGCGTGCTCCAATTACAAACTAAAGCCAGTTGAAAGTGATTGTTATGACATTCGAATTTTTAAAAAAAAGACAGCTTAACCCTTAGAGAAAGATTATATCCTGAAAAGCATATAGTGATTTCGTAAAATGTAGAATCGCCATTTAGGGTATGATACTTTTATGCATACATTTTAGAATTAAAGCAAACAATTTTTTCTTGGATTTCAACTTTAAAAAGCATAAATTATTCAAATATTATAATTTTAATATCTATATTTTAATGAGAAATTGTTAAAAAAATATTTACAATATCTCTAAAAAATCAAATTTGTTGCTGCCGTAGGCCCTTAAGAGAAAGGGAGCGATTGTTCTTATTTTCCATCTATGGCGAAAAATTCAATTTCTGTCACACCCATACGTCACACCCGTTTATAGAGCAGACCCATTCATACGTCCATTCATTCATCCACAGATCTTAATTTTGACCTGAACCAGAGACCAATCAATCTTCAATTCAGTACCCTCAGAGGTATATTTCGTCTTGGGAACATAGAGGACTTTGTGACTCGACAGATTTAACATGTACCAGTTACCATTTACTACACCGGAAGTCTTCGGCTTTCTGGATCGAATTCCCGTTCTCACGAAAGTGAGTCCTGCATCCTGCCAACCAGGCTATCCCAGCCCTAAGAAATCAATGAATAAATAAAATGAAAAATTAATGAATTTATCGAAAAGTAGTTCTGATTGAATATCTACAAAGCGATTTTTAATAAAATAAGGAAATGTATTTAGTTTCACAGCAATTACTTTTTTTTTAATTAAATATTTCAATTTTGATCATTGTTGTCATGTTTGCTATTTCAAACGATTAGTGAAACTAAAACACTTTTTTTCAAACATCACTTTTAATCATAGCACTTTAAGTATTCGAATCGAATAATCATGGTTATTGAAAACAACACTTCTATGTTATTAAAAAGATAAAAAAAACACTACTAGCATTTTTTGAATGTTTTATTAATTGCAGAAGTTACATATTCATTTATTTATTTATTTATTTTGCATTTTTCGTAATCATTTCTGAAATGCGAATTTTAATTTTTAAATTATTATTTTTGAAGGAATGCAATTTTTAAGTCTTAAAAGCTATTCTAAAAACCACAAATCCACATTATTTAAAAAAAAATTTATTTTAAATGATGGAACTTTTGGAATAAGTCTGTTTAACAGTTGTTTGACAGTTTAACATCAATATAGATCTACATTCCCAAAGAATATTTAATTAAGTGAGTATTTTATTTAGTAATTAAAGCACGTTTCGAAATAGCATGCATTTTTTACATTATGTTTAACGTAACTAACTGCATTAAAATATTTTATTCAAACTTTTATGTCTATTAATATAACATATATGATGTCTCTCTTCACTATTGACAAGAATTCTATAAGTATAAATAAGTCACATATACATCCATATGTCTTTGCAGAGTATTCCGTATACTAAAAAGGGGCGGTATTATTAAATTTATACATCGATTTTAGTGAAAATATGTGAATAAATTTTTTCATTAAACGATAATGTCTGTTAAAATGGCGAAGCAATTTTTTAATGTTAACTAAACAGCATACGTCAATTCAATCAAATTAAACACTCAATTTAGCTTTAGTGAACTTGATGAATAAATTTTTTCACTGAACGATGATGTCTGTTATAACGATAAAGCCTTTTTTTAATGTTAACTAATCGGCATAATTCAATCAAATTAATCACTCAATTTTATTTTCTCTTCTATTAATAGATCGAAAATTCATTAGGTTTCCGTTAATGGTAAATTTATGCATTACTTATAGATTTAATGTGTATTTTAATTTACAGGTTGTAATCTTTTGTCTTGCCCTGGCTGCCGTCCAGGCTTCTGGTCTTGTTGGGCCATGGGGATATGCTGGATATGGTGGTCCATGGATTGGAGCTCATGGAATCGCCCCAGCTACCGTTGCCTCACAAAAAGCCGTTATCAACCATGTAGCTCCAGCTGCTCCAATTGCCGTAGCTGCCCCAGTTCTCGGACATGGCCTTCTTGGAGCTGGCCTTCTTGGAGTTGGACATGGAATCGCCCCTGCACCATTGGCTCTTGGACATGGACTTGTCGGAGCTCCATTGGGTTATGGACTTGGACTTGGAAAAGCTATTTATTAAAATATGTTTTCATTGCCAAAGAAATGAAATAGTGGAAGCAAACTAAATTGTAACATAAAAAAATAAAATATTTATTTCTTGTTCAAAAATTGATTTTTTTATTTCTAATGAATGTCAAAAGACGCTTTAAAAATGTACAATATTAAAATCTAACTATCGATATTTTGCAATATTTTGTCTGTCGAGGGTTAATGTAAACTGTTTTTCGTTTATATCAAACGTTGTTGAGAAAAGAAATGTCATAGGGTGATGAAAAATTTTAATGCTGTTGAAGAAAGACTTTGATATTTATATTTGAAAAAATATTAATTAAGAATTTTATGCCACTTTTATTTTCTCATAAATCGAAAATTAGAAAAAAGCAATTAATAAAGTTTAAAATTAAAGCGTAGACTGAGAAAAAAAGCTAGGGTCAAAACTACCAGAATGTGTGTGTATATTTATATGTAACTAGCTGAATACCTGTATTTCGCACGGGAATAATAAAAAACAGAACGAAGAACCATATTGAAAAATACTACTAAATCATGCTCGAAACTATCGACACAATTAAAGAGCTTAATGTAAGAAACAGGCAAGGGAAATTTTTAGAGGAATTAATAAATCGAGAAAATAACAAGAATGATTTGAATCATTATGGAGTTTAATGTAGCAGAACAGTTTTTGCTTTCTCTTAAATCTTAACATAACTAATCACGTCAGTTTTTAGAACGCTTGCATGATTTTTATTTCAAATCAGGCGGTGGTAAACAAAATAAAAACAAAGGATTTTTAAAAAGTTTCCTCTAAACTATTTTATTACAAATTTGATAATAAAATAGCTCGGGGGAAATTTTTTTTAGTTCTGAAAATGTCACTTGCCTGTTTCTTCCACTACGTTTTTCAATTGACATAGCTGAAATAATTGCAATTTTCTTAGTTAATATTATTTGTTTCCCATTTTTGGTGGCTTTACAATAGGTAAATAAGTAAAACCAGTCCTTTGTAGTTCATCCCATTTGAATAAAGATAAAATCTATTTAGCAAGTAATTTTCTCCGGTATACATCCCTTTTGAAGGGCCGTAAAACACTTATTTCCAAAGTATCAATTTCAAAACTGCTAAGTATTGGTACGATCTTAATAATCACCAAATAAATCAATATATTTTTTACTTATGTTAGTATATGTAGTACTTATTGCATAACACTTCAACGTTTAAGTTTTGTGTAAAAGAATTACATGTGTCAGCAACAGCGAACTAAAATCAAAATCGTTTTTAAAAAATAGAATTATTATTAGAACTGGATAACGTTTTTGGATTATGGCCGTTTATCTATCTGACCTTTAATTAACCTAGAACTGTAAAAATATTTAGAAGTAGTTGTTCTTTTAAGCCTTATTCATAAAAATATTAATACATTATCCTCGTTAAAAAAGTATTTAAATTAAGTACTGAAAAAAGTGTTTTTTGAAAGTATGGAACAGGCGTTCTAGAATTCTTATTAAAACTGTCCCAATTATAATAAAAGTAGTAGTGCATAGTACAGTTAGTAGGGCACAATAAATGTGCGTCATCTGTAAATGGCGATTTTCTACTGTCCCCCTAAACGAATTTCCTATCAACCTTTTAACCTTTAACTTCGATTTTTAGCACATTGCTTCCCAATATGAATAGGTACTTTTTCTTCATGACTTTTGCTTTTAAGTACAAAAGTTTTTTTTTATATATCATAACTAAACTCAGTGGCACGACAGCCCATAGAGGGCCAAGGCCTACTGTGCCCATCTCAGTTTTCTTGACCTTGGGCTCGGGTGCAGGAGCAGATGTTCCGGTCACGTGGTGAGCCGAACGCGGAACCCCCAGTGTTTAGTTCCCAAGCATGCTTGGTACTCATTTATCGACCCACTGAAGGGATGAAAGGCTGAGTCAGCCTTGCCCGGCCCGAGGATCGAACTAAGGACCTGTGGCACGACAGCGCGAAGTGCTACCGCTCAGCCACCGGGCGTATATCAATTGACATATTGCAAACAATTAAGCATTATTGTCGTCAATGATGGCATAACGATTGCTAAGAGTTTTTCATGATAAATAAATATTACTCCATTGCTTTTTCGTTCTAGTACATAGCTTATTCACTTTTCTTCAATATACATATATTACCAGAATTAAGCATCATTGTCGTCAATAATAATAGAGAGATTTCTTTTACGCTTCATCTAAGCGAATTAGTATCACTTTTCCATTAATTTTGCTTTGAATACATAAATATTTTTTCTATTCAATTACAGTTTATTTTAAATATTTATTTTTCAGAAACACAGTTTAAAATAATTAATATAAATTAAAAAAGGCGCGTAGTACCAGACAACTATATAAGTATAAATTTGGTGACGTAAACCACATGACCTACTACGTAATGTTCTTTATCGAATTAATCTGACACAGCGAATAGAAAAAAAATTAAACATTTAAATATCTGTTTACTTATTTGTTTCAAAAATAAAATTAAGATTAAATAACGGTATAAAGAACCGGCCCTAAAAGGGTGTCATTTCTTTTTACCGTAATATCCGATTTTACCCTAAAATGCATTTTTAATGTAAAACATAACGGGACAAAAAAAATTCGGATGAAGTGTGGAAATATTCATTTCGATTTAATTTCTGTGGCAATATTTACTAAATCACCGTAAATAAATAAATGTTGCTTTAAAAGTTAAGGTATAAAACTTTTTGATAAAAATGAATTTTACGGTTTGATCCGAAAGTTTTTAACATTATTGAGCAGTGAAAGTAAAGTATAAGTAATTATAATAGGGAATTTTTTTCTTAACAAGAAAAATCAATGATATTTAGTATTTTATTATTATTCTTCGATTTGCTTAGATAGTGATAAATATTTTTTTTAAATTATCCTTTTAAAACTCATATATTTTTAAAAGGTTCAAGAAATATTGCAGTAATGTATGAACACGAAGTTTTATACAAATTTATTAGATTAATTACTCAAATTTCTGAGGGTTTAAAGAATCTAATTTCTTGTTTTTTAATGTTCTTTTTTTACCTGCACACAAATATATCTGGTCATAAATTCGAAACATATGAAGAAACTTGATTAATTTGTATCAATGGCCGTACTAAACGTACTACTATCTCAATAGTAGTGGAAGACTCAAATAATCGTTTACCATGATTTGAAAAATTTACAAACTTTCGATTGTTAAAAATATTAAAAAGATGTGAAAGATACAAAAAAGAGCAGAAAACTGTGATGCTATGATGCATAAAAGCATCACATAAATTAATTATAAATTCAAGATATTTTTTCTAACCAGAACAATTTTCAGTATTCTATATAAATTAATAATTCCCTTTAAGCAGAAAAGCCCTATAGTTTCATGAACCATAAAAAGTATGCCCACTTTAAATAACAATAGGAACAGAACACAGCGGAAAAAAATTGGTGAAATTACCGTTTTGCATGGTAATGACTTTTCTGGTTAGAAAAAAATAAATATAAAAAATAATAATTAATAAAACTATAATATATGGTACTTAAACCATTTATTTGGTTATTTTCCCGTTCATTTATGATTACAGTATACTAGTAATTCAAAACTATTCAAATTATAAAAATTATACTTTTCAAAATTATAGTTCTTATTACCACACATTTAGTAAAAAATACTGAACTGAAAATTAAATTTAAGCAAATTAATTATTTTTCATGCCATACTCTAAGTCATCATGATAAAATAACTAAATTTTACCGTATTTACCAAATTTAAACAAATTTTAAAAAACGATCTTTTACTGCTAATTTTACCAAAATTATTACCAATGCCCTTAAAACTGTACAGAGCTTTTTTTCAGTTCCCCTAAGGTCAGAAACGCGGTAAATTTTACCATATTCTGGTAGTTTTGACCACACTATTTTCTCGGTGAAAAGGGAATAAAAACAGCAAGAATATTATTGCAAGTGGACCTACAGCTACATCTCCGAAGCTCATAATAGGGTCAAGAAATTAAGCTAATAGTTTATAGGTGGGTGCAAAATATAAATAATTCTGTTTGTTGTTTATTAGAGACATTTACCAAAATAAATCAAACAAAATATAGAAATTACAATATTTATTTCGCAACATAATACACGTAAAGTACCACACCATATGACCATATAAATTACCACATTCCTTTCATTCCAACTCCCATGAGCCCCATGCCTAATCCGAGACCATTTCCATAACCCAAACCAGCACCATATCCGAGTCCAAGACCAGCATGTCCAATAACTCCACCGTAAGCTACTGGAGCAGCAGCAATCATTGGAGCGGCAATACCATGTCCAATAACGGGTGCAACATGAGCGATGGGTGCAGCGTGGGCGATATCAGCAGGAGCAGCGTATGGACTAGCGATGACAGCAGCGGCTGGTGCACTGTGAGCGGTACCAGGTTCGTTGGTCTTGACAACAGCTCTGAATCCATGTCCATCGGCAACGTATTCAACCTTTCTTGCTCGTCCATCGATGTCAGCGAGAGTGTATGATCCCTTCTTGTTTCCATGAGCATCTCCTACTTCAGATCTGGAGTTGGTGGCTCCTTTGCCATCCTTGATGTCATATCCGAAAGCATAGTTTCCAAGTTTCTAGAAGAGAAATTTTATGTTAAATACATAGGCGCAATTAAAAATTTGCAAAACAATATATCGATAACAAGGAAGGCAGACAGTAGAAATACTTTTAAGTATAATAAAACTTTTTAATAATAAATAATAAAGTGTTTTTCTTAAAAAATATTCCTATTTCATTCAGATAAAAAAAATTATTTTAATAATGTGAAGTTTATTTTTTTAAACTGTATTAAATAAAACAAAATATAAAATGATGTAAGAGTGAACAAATAATTCTGAACGGTCCTATTATTTTATTATTACATTTCATTTTTACATAATTACTTTTTATTATATTTTTACGATTACTACTATTACTGCTACACTTTAATTTTACTAATTTATTTGTTTTGACAAACTATTACGAATTTGTATTTAGTCTGAATGCAGAATTTTGATTAATAAAATAAAATCGAGTAAATGCATGAAAAAATTGTCAAGGTAGTAAAGTATATCAATCAATCAAAATATAAATATCAAATTGAATATTTATATTAAATAAATTTAATATAAATATTTTTACAAAATATAAATATCTGCAATCGCATTGCTAGTATAATGTTTCTGCTTGCCTAAAGGACTCTTTAAATGCAACCTTCTCAAACAGTAATATCACAGAAGTTGAGATATGAATATGAAAACAGCAAAGTGTTAATGTATGGAAGCCTAAGATTGAATCTTTTATTTGAAAACAGCAATAAATTATTATGTACATATTTTCTTTCAATTTTACAAAAAAAAAGTGATTACTAAACTTACATCTTGTACTTGAGATCGAGCACTCACTCCAGTGTTAATCAGATGAACTGGAGCCAATAGACTGGCGTTGGCAACACCAAGAACTAAGCAAAAAGCAGCTACCTAAGGAAAAGAAAACACATGTTAATATAATATATAGTATGAATAAAAATAGATCAGTTAGTACTTATTTATTACTCAATAATAAGATCATTGAGAAAGAACAACAAATTGGGTTTCTGCCATCCCTTGTAATTTCTATGTAAAATTAATCAACATATCAAGTATGATTGAATAATATACTTTTTTAATTAGTTTGAGAGAAAAAATTATAAAATTTGATGCAGTCAACAATGAAAATTTTATATTTTTAATTGTCTCGTAGAGTTAATCAAAAATCTCTTCATTTTTTTTTAAAAAAAGAAGAAGAAAAAAAAGACATTAGTTTTAATCAGTTATATTAAAAATTTCTTTTCTGATGAAAAATGACTAAAATGAATTAAAAAATTTTGCTTTGAATATTGCTGGGTCACGTTTTATCTCTCCAATATCATAAACTTTCCAAAATAACAGAAAATTTAAAATGCTGTTTGGCTAAACTTTATCACAAATCAATTTTTTTAATAAAACCAAAGTATTTAAAGATATTTCTCTAAGACTCTTCCGAAATACGAATTCTGGAATTCATAAATAAACGGTCATTTTTTTCAAAAAAAAAAAAAAAAAAAAGGAAAAAANTTTTTTAAAAAAAAAAAAAAAAAAAAAGGCGTATTTGTAGAGTTAACCGCTTTTAAAAAAATTGCTGTTTTTCTGTAAAGTACGTTGTTAGTCAAAATATTTGACAGCTTAAAAGAATATTTCAAAATTTGCATAGCCATTATTTAAAAAAAGCACATTATTTATAGGTTCTAAGGAATGCAAAGCGTCATATTTTGTTGGTATAAAAGATTAGAATTCTCTCTTATTAACTTTAAAAGAAGAACTGTACAGTTTTTCTAAAAGAACATTGTTAGTTAGTGTGTTTAACTACTGAAAAAATATTTTTAATCTTGCACAGTTACTATTTAAAAAAAAGAACAGTTCAAACCTCAATATTCACAGGTTTTAAGATAGCCAAACTCTCGTATTTCGTTTGTATAAAATATTAGCGCACTTTATTATTAACTTTAAAAAAAAAATTGAAGTTTTTCTCAAGGAAGATTACTAGTTAATATATTTTAATGCTTAATAAAATATTTTTAAACTTTCACAACCATTATTTTTTAACATTAAATCAAGTACAATATTTTTAGGTTCTAAAAAAAGCAAGTTCTCATATTTTGTTTGCATAAAATGTCAATATATTTTTTTAAAAACTAAACATGCCAGCAGCAGTTATTTATTTACCAATGGAGTAATGGAGTACCAAAAAACCGCAATCAGTGGCATATTGATGAAAATGTGTTCTGCATTACACGCTGACCGTTTTATTTTCCAAACTAACTAGTACCCGTCAATCTGAAGTTAGGGCACAAAACTAAGTAAAATAAACTTGACTTTCTAACTCTTGAAGTTTGACTTTCAGCATTAACTTTCATTGTGATTTGACAAAAACTGCTAATTGCCTTAACCACTGGACAGTTGCGACTAAATTTAATAGTAATAAAAACAAGATCATAAAACCAACCAAAAATGCAGCCATGATTTGTGCGCAAATTGGAAACTCTTTTTATCGTTACTGTTAATTTATAAAAGATTTTATGTAAAATCAATTTACAATGAGAAAATAATTCCAGTAACATAGCTGCTCTAAACAGTAATGGCATTTCTGGTAAAATAAACCCAAATTCTGGCTAATAAAACTAAAATATACAGTACTTAAACCATTCCTTTGATAATTTTTCGATTCGCATAGTAGCGATTTTCCGAAAATTCTGGTATTCAAAATTCTTTTTATTATACAAAAATCAAAAAAAATATCTAACCAAATAAATGGTATTTATGTCACCCTTTAGGGAATCATAATAAAATTTTATATCATTTACCAAATTTTATCATGTATTATAAATCAAGTTGTATTATTAATTTTATCAAAATCAGTACCAAAGCACTTCTGTAAAACTTATCGAGCTATTTGGTGTTCCCAGACAGCCAGAAAGATGTAAATTTGACAAATTTTTGTCAGTTTTGACAGTACTTTTTTTAATTGTCAGTGCAGAAAGAATGATATTTTTATATAAAAATTCTTCTGCTCAAGTATTAGTTTATAAAATATGTACTATTAAATATGCATCTGTTATAGTAATTCTTAAAGTAAAATAAATGATCCCTAGTTATTAGGTGAGATATACATTTGGTGAACACCAGTTTTAATAGCAACAGGCAACCTAAACCTTTTTTTAACAATTTTTACTAAAAGAATAATTAACTTCCAATAACTTCACGTGGTTTTAAATTTTTCCTAAGATTGTTACTTTCGTTATAGTTTAAATCAGAAAAAGGTAAAGACTAAGGAAAAGCTATAGTAATTATGAAACAATAACTTACCTTTGAGAACATGTTTACACAGGAATCAGTCTGATACTACGAATGAGGTATTTTTCCTAAGCTTATATACTTAATGAGAAAAGCAAACAAAAACACTCTTGAAAGCCTACATAAACAAATTTCCCGTATTTCTCCATGAAATTTAATGAAAAAAAATTCTCCAATAATCAATGATTGACATTGGAGAAATTCATATTTAAATTAGATAATAATCAACTCACGCCACTAGTCGAGGAAGCAGAACATACTTCAAGTCCTTGACGAACGTCGCTAACTAATTCGAAATCTATTAAGTAGTTAAGAATGGATTTAGTTATCGTAGCAATGTGATGATTTATCAGAACCAATGAAATGAAATTAAATATTCTGTTATTTGTATTTCTTTGCCTTTTTAGTATTTTTTTAATATTTCTTTAATTTTAATTTATGTACTTATGTGTAAAAATTAATATAAAAATTAAATTTATGTTTAGAAATTAATAAATAAACATGTAAAATAAATTGATA